GCAAACTGCCGCCGGCAACCAAAAGCCGCGCGTGTCGCGGCTGAGATGCGGCAAATGCCGGCGGCACGGCCGCTGGCCATGCCGCCGGGCATGTGTGGATGCGCCATAAGTAGAGCAACAAAAGGTTTGTCAGGATCGTGCAAAGTAGCGATCGTTAGGGTGCGTGTTCACGCTAAGAAAAGTCGCCGGGTCTATGCAAGAATTCGTGTCTTTTCTACACACGGACTGCGTACACGGCCTCGGCGCCGGACAAGAACAAAATCTTGTCTACTCCCGACACGACGCGCTCTGCCGCTATTGTGTGGGGCGCGGTGAGGTGCATTGTCAGTAAACAAACGTTTATGCGCGTGGACGGGTGTTGCTTAGTAGTCAATATATACAACAACATTTTTCTTCCCTCAGTCGGTAGTAAAACGACAGTTACCCGGAAGACTCGTATGCACTGATACATTTTACCTTACACACATCTGTTCGAAAGCATTCGTATCGTGTACATACTCATCATTTTCTCGCCTGCAACAGACACGGCATGTTTTCGTGGCTAGATCCGACAAAGTTCTTGTCGTGTACAAAACCATTCTCATCTTTTCTGTAGCAGACACGTCGAATTTCTTAGCGTGTACACGCGCTCTTAGTCTCTTCCTACCACCAAATTGAACCCAAAAGCATGAATATTTAAGAATTTTGTATGTGCACAAAATTATTATATATATCGCATGGTGTTCATGAAAAATAACTTGAGTAAATTAAATTACTACTATAATATATAAATAAATAAATATACACAACATCACATACGATGCTCCGATCCCAAAGTACTGACTTTGAGTGCTTTACTTACTGAATTAAAGCACTTGTGTTATGGAAATCGGAATCCAGACACGTGACAATATAGAAAAGTTAGTTTTTGTACACTGACCAGGCGGGAAATCAACCTCGGGACCTCAGAGATGGCTACACCTTGAAAACTGGTGTTCCAGCCACTCGTCATGATCCGTAGATAGCGCGTTTCTGTTTGGCAAAAAGAAACCTTAGTACTTAACTTAGCGGCAGTACTTGCCTGGACGAACTCTGTCACAAGGACCTCTACTGCTACTAATTTCTAATTATTTTTGGTAAAAGCTCTTTTGATGTATGTTGCTTTATTATACCAAAAGAGCGTTCACAAATACATTTTTGATAAAAAAAGATTTAAAAGAATTAAAAGAAATCGAAAGTAAGCAACCGTAATACTTAAACAAAAGGCGTAAATTATTACCGCAACTGACCACAGTTTTTACAAATTGACTGATAATTGACCGCCATGTTGTGCCAATTTTAACGGTTGTAAGTTGTAAAACAAATAGACTGTTAGATGGCGGGTTGTATACAAATTAAAATTGTCTTTGTAAATCATTATTACTATGCAGCTGCTAGATAATGGTGTCGGTACACTTTTTGTAATAAAAAGGACCAGTGCCTCTACCACGAGTTCGCTGTGACAATTGTCGCTAGCAACCCCGTAAATTACTTCATAATGTTGAATGGTAAATCGCAAAAACATTTTGTACACAAATATTTTACGTGGACGCTAGTGAGAATTGTCACCGTAGTCTCTGTGTAGTGCCTCTACCATGAGATTATAGTCGCTACCGATTTTGTAAAAGGTTTGACAATTTTAAATGGTAAATCGTCCAGCGCCCGTAGCGGTCTCAAGTAGAAGTAATATTTTGTATAGAATAATGACGCTGTCGCTAGCGACAAGGTCTCGATGTAAACTCATGGTAGAGGTACAGATATTTTTAGACCCGTCAAAACGTTTAGATTAAGAATTCTTGCACTTGTTTAAAAATACCTACTAGAGATGTGCGTCGATCATAAAACAGCCGGCGGCGGCGTATGATGATTTTGCGACCGGCGCGGCGGTAATGGCGTGATCGGCGTGACATACATATATTTTTAAAATTTTAAAAAACATTAAAACATTGTGTAAATCAACCATTGTATTAATTTTCAATATTATTTACTCTTTAACTTAAAAGTTAGCAGATAATGATGTGGACTTTTACAATGAAATAGCATCAGTTTTCATGAGCCGTCTAGCGGGAGAAGTAGCAAATAGTGTCCTTCCTCATTATAATCTAGTATGAGCCAAGAATATAGGAAATAATTAATAATGAAACTGACACTTCATTAAAAAGAAATAATTAATTAAGTTGAAATATTATTGGCGGTGGACGTACATACATCTCCAGTACATATCCATCTACCTACATATCATCCACATCGTCAATTAAAAAGTCACGGAATTCGAAAAGTTACAATTTTGGCAAGTTGATGAAATAGATTTAAAGGTAATAAAACGCTAACTAAACCGTTATGTATCTCTTTCATAACGAATACAATTTAGTCATATTTCAGCTTTCACAAAATCAGCAAAATCACATTATTGAGCTGAGGCACGTACGTTGCGTTTTTAAACCTATTTTGTCAATTCCTCAAATATTTTCCTTTTCGAACTAGAGTCATTTTTCGTTGTGGTTTTCTTTTTAATTTTCTATTTAAATCATTCTTAATTGTTCAGCTAAACTTTACCTAATTAGGAAATGAAACTATTTTTCCGGATTTAAATCGCGTATATTTGTTATTTTTTCAAACAAACCGACGTTTCGGGCCCTTTACAGGTTCCATGGTCACGATTGACTGAGGTAGTACAGTCTTCAACCAGCTATGTCTAATATTGATGCAAACCACCCTATTTTTTCACTATATTTACAATAGTTATAAATTAAATACCTTATTTTTAATTTTACAAAGAAAACATTCCAATTTACACTATATTAAGTTTTACAAATTATTTTATCGAATGAATTTTTATTAAGTTCAATTTATTATTAATTATTAATAGAAATTAGAATAAACTAAAACATATTAATTAGTACTGCAGTCTTATGTCTGTTTGGGATTTTTCATTAGAGGAAATACTGGATCCCAAACTGGTGGTACGGAGAAACCATCTTCCCTGTTGAAATTAGGATGTTTTTTAATTTCAATGGCCTCTCGCAGCATCCTGGGTAGATAACGGACTTCTTTTGCAAGGATCTGGGGTTTGTCTAACTACATTGAATGTGTAGGTTTATCCATGACATGCTTGCAGACTGCAGACTTGTTTACGCGACGGTGTTTGACATCAGTTATATGTTCTTTGACGCGGGTACAAATACTTCGCTTTGTTTGTCCAATATAAGAGAGACCGCACTCACAGTCAAGCTTGTAAACTCCTGCATCCTGTAAGGGGATGTTACATTTCACGGGTCTCAGGAACTGAGAAATCTTCCTCAGGGGCTTGAAATAGGTCTTGATAGATGCGCCTGAGGACTCTTCCGATCTTGTCTGTGACACCTCTCACGTAAGGTAAGATGGCAGGTCTTCGCTCGACTGTTGGTGGTTTCACACGGGGCCTGTGGCATTGGCGTGGAATCTTCAACTTATTCGCATGTAGGACTTGCTTTATATGTTGAAGTTCCCCTGCCAGATGATTACTGTCGCAGACACCATGTGCTCTCTGAAACAAAGATTTGTCCACGGTAGCTAACTGGCTAGGATGGTGATGGGAATTACCATTGAGATACCTATCTGTATGGGTTTTCTTTCGAAATACAGTATGGCCTAATGTGTTATTAGGATTTCTTTTAATTAAAACATCTAAGAAAGCTAAAGTACCACAATTCTCTTGTTCCATAGTAAATTGGATCTTAGTACTAAAAGAATTAAGATGGTCCAAGAAAGAAGGTATGCTATCTTTAGGTAATATTGTGAAAGTATCATCAACGTACCGTTTGAAAATCTTCGGACTAGCTGGGGTAAAACTCGCTCCTCGAAGTCTTCCATGAAAATATCGGCAACAACGGGATATACCGGGGAGCCCTTTGCTATACCGTCAATTTGTAGGTAGAATTCATTATTCCACAATAGATAGCCTGATGTTAGGCAGTGTTCTAATAATTCTGCATATTCAATGGACATATTATGTTCCCTCAGCTTTCTACGTACAATTTCAATGCAGTCTTTTACTGGTAGGTTGGTAAACAGCGACTGAAGATCAAAACTGACCATGGTGTCATCTTTGATCTACGGTTAACTGATGGAACAAAGGAATCAAAATTCCACTGATGAAATAGTATGAATCCTTCACATGTTTAGAAGTGTTCCTTCTCAAAGGTGACAGTACCTTTGCCATGTGTTGAGCCAGTTTGTAGGTTGGTGTGTCAATCTGGCTAACTATGGGACGGAGTGGGGTGTCAGCCTTATGTATTTTTGGCAACCCATACAGTTTTGGGGGTTTTACGCAGTAGGGTACAAACTCACTTACATCAAGTTTCAGTGTATCGGAGTGCTTAGATATTAAGTTAGTTGTTGTTTTTAATATCTTGGTGGTATGGTCTTTCTTCACCTTTTTATACGTGCTTTCATCCGATAGTACGTCAGTTATTTTGCTGTTACGATCTGACGTATTCATGACCACGGTCGCGTTACCTTTATCTGCACGGAGGATGACTAATTCAGGATCTTCGCGGAAGGTCTTCAGCGCGTTATATTCATCTCGAGTAAGATTCGGTCTGGGCTGTTTATTTGAACACAATATTGACGAAACGTCTTGGCGTATTGCCTCCAAATCTTCCTTTCTCATGTTGTTTTTAACTAGACAATCCTCAACGTTACAAATAATTTCTTCATATGGAACACGACGAGGAGCCACTGCGTAATTCAAACCCTTTTGCAAAACTGAAAAAGCAGACTGATCTAACGTTTTGTTCGATAAGTTTATTACAGATTGAATTTGTGTTTGATCATTTTTATATATTATTATTTATATAATTTTTTTTTTGTTTGCATCAATATTAGACATAACTGGTTGAAGACTGTACCACCTCAGTCAACCGTGACCATGGGACCTGTAAAGGGCCCGAAACGTCGGTTTGTTTGAAAAAACAAATATACGCGATTTAAATCCGGAAAAATAGTTTCATTTCCTATGTGTAACAATCGTGAAAACCTAAGAACTCGATATTTACCTAATTACTCCCTTGGCAGTCACAAAAGGTACACTTTTAACTTGATTTTATCATACTCGTAGCATCAATTCACTCTTTGCTGGTTTTTTACCTTGGCGTTTGTGCTTGCTCGCATTTTGTCAAGGACAATGATATCGTCAGTACACTAATTTTATTGTGACCTAATTGCTGTAATTTCTAGCAGAGCTTCGTCACTCATTCAAAGTCACGATAACTGCGTACCGCCGAGTGTAACGCCAACGGAACAAGCGCTCAGAGGGATGTCGCAAGCACGCCTGAAAAGTTTAAAGAAAGAATCTGGAGGGGGAAACACGTAATAATTTTATCGAGGACTCAGAAATAAGTGATTTTGACAATTTCTGATGAATATAAATTAAAAAAAAATTGTTTTATGCCCTTTTCCTGGTGTGGGAAACAAGTTTATTTATTGAAATTGTTGTTGTGCAATAGAACGCGCAGATTTTGTATGTGAGTGACATATTTCTTGCGTTGTCACTATTAAGTAATCTGTGCTTCTAGTGCGAGGATCCCACTACACAATCAGCAACCCGGAACGTCGTATGCCGTTCATCGAAGCGCGCAATGCAACTTTTCAAGGCAGCGGGCCGCGAGAGGAGGCGCGGGCTATGTGCTCAGTCAGGACTCAGGAGGTCAACGCTACCGCCAACGCTACTATCACAAGGAGATTGCACGGTGTTGTTACGTCTCGTGAGTTTTATTTAACACTTTTGTCGACATCGCTAAACGTTCACTTGGGCAATGTAAAGTTTCTATCATAAGTGTACACACGTGGAGAAAATTATATTAAGCAATACGAACGTAACAGATAAAATTTATCTCTTCGAATGTGTCCCTAAATTTAGTAATCCATGTATAAGTTTTGATTGACGACAACGCACAGCGAAATTTTGAACGCTAAAAATATGAAATTTAGACTTTAGTCTCCTTTTATTATGTAAGCGTCATAACATGGGGATTTACCACAGTTAAACACCTGAAGTCAATTGAACGGATATTCTAAACCACCAAAAACATGAGACGTAAAAAGAATATTTAAGCTCAGTCGCTCGTGATGTATTAAAATGTGTTTCGTTTTTTAAAAATCATCCATTGATAGAATGAAAGAGGTCTTTAGAGGAGGAATATGAAGGCTAAATAGCCAAGCCCGAATAAGTCTCTAGAAGGAGAGATACCCCGCGGCATCACTCATTCCGCTGTCAGAGCTTCTACCTTCTGGGCATAATCCACCTTGGCAAACTTCACAGTCTCTAAATAGGTTAAGAACTCAAGTCGGCCGAAGCAAGGAGTGCATGCACGGGTGGGGTTATAGCTCGGATAGCGCATGTCTGTGTGGTGACTCTCTCCAGACAATGGCACATCTTTTGGCCTGCCCTGCGTGTCCCTGCACCTGCACAACGCCACTGATAGTGCTGTGTCAGTCGCTAAGTACTGGTCCGCACATATATAAACGTCAGCGTCAGACTCGACATATCAAGAAGATTTATTCCGAGGTTAAACGTTTATGCTTACCTTTTTTAAATGATTCCGTGGCCGAACGGTTACTATGCTGGGCAGCCACGCAGAGGTCCCGGGTTCGATTCCCGGGCCGGGAGAAATGTTTGTATGGCCTCCGTTTATTTCTCTCGTGGGTCTAGATGTAATTTGTGGTTGACTGTGTGTGTCCATGGCACCCGCGTTACAGAATCTTCCTAGTGCGGGACTATTTAGTAAAAAAAAAAATTTAAAACTAGTACACGAATATGAATGCAAACTTAATACTTGATCTTCTGTTTTATTTTACAAATAGAACGATTGATTCTTACAATTATTTTAGAACTTCTAATAAATAACTATTATTTAATTTATAAACGTTCTTCAAAGCGAGCTCACTCAGTGCACACACGTGATTTATTTTGTAGTAAATTTTATTGTTTTGTTAATTAAATTGTATTTGTGGGAAATGTCGGCAAAGTACAGTCTACTATTCTACACGCAATCTAGTAAAATGGAATATGTATGATTTCAGGAGAGCTTCATAGTGCGATCCAGCGGCTGGAGGTGGTAATCTTCGGACAGATGCAGCAACTCTGGCAGAGCCTAGACGCGCTGCGGGCACAGCTGTCTACTGGCCATAGCGCCAAGTACCCTGATCGCCGATCTGTTGTCCTCCAGTTCAAACCCGATATGGGCTAATGGTCCATTTACACGAAGCCAATAGAGGAGACATTCCACAAAACAAAGCCATTAAGCCAATCCAGTGAAAAGTACGAAAATCGCAACGTCCATCTACATTACAGCCAGTATTACAATAAGTTTATTTTTAATACAGTTGCTCAAAACGTGGTATTTTTCGAACTACAAATCATGCCGAAAGTTGGATTTTTCGCACTAGTGCTCCACTTTTCTTTTTTTTTAAATTAACTGTTGTTTCAAGTCTTAAACATAAAGAGAGTCTAAAGAGGTTGTATATTTATTTAATATTTATGTGCTTTGTGACGTAAGTCATTCGTCATTAAAACTTATATTTACTTATAAACATCTTATTTGTTTAAATTGCATAGGTGTTTTACAAATCAACGAGTTACATTTAAAAATACCAAAATATTTACCATAAAGATGGCTGATTGAGTATTAACAATGACCGGAGGCGAGTATTACGCGAGACCGCTGCGCGCCGCGCCACTTAAATAGTAATTTTAATGTGGCTGAATACTGGCAACAGTTGCCACTGTACTCTATTTTTATCAGACGAAGAAAAAAAGAAGTTTTTTTTAATGCTGTTTTATTTTACTTTCAATGTAGTTTTTTCGCAAATTTATTAAAAAATTTCGTTTGATACACGTGCGGATTTGTCATTTTCACTTGTCTCGAGAAGAAGCCTCGAGACTCGTGAATAATAACTAACTTTCCGCATTTGTATCAAAAATAACTATTTTAGATTCTTTACTAAACGGCGAGGAATGAGCCAATTCAATGCACTTGTGGTGCAGGAAGGTATTGGCCCGAAATATGTGAAATCAGTTCTAATTTAGTGGATTGTCTTTATCACTAGTCTGGAGACAATCCACATTTACATACACGATGCCAATAATGGCTTGGCTTAATGGAATCGCTTGTCTATTGTATTTGTAACAATATTAGATGAGACAATGCAAAACTAGCAAATCTTTTGTTTCATTTAGTATTAGCAGAACCACTTAAAATGCACCTACGCACACCCTTTAATATTCTTTGCTAGGAATTCCAAGATAATAAGAAAACTACCACATATAAAGGACAGGAACCCGCCTGTCCTTTATATACTTTTAACCGAGAGTTTTTAATCAGACTTAAAATTCAGAATAAAAGAAAGGATTCAATTAAAGTTCAATTTATTAACAATTAGTAACTGATATTCTCAGCAAGTTTACGTGACCAAGTTCTCTTCTACTTGTAATTTGAACTTGGCTATGTAATAACAATAAAATATTCGTTAGTTACAAAGTTAAATGTCTCTTAACCTAGATGCCATTAATAAATATTAACAAATAAACAATTTGTTTTATTATGCTTTCAAATTGATTATACATATTTTTTTGCATTAGAATGTACTTTTTTAGAAAATTAAATATGTCAGAATATGATGGTGAAGAAGTAAGATTAAAAAGTACACAGTACAGAAACAAAGATTATAAACTAATGTTTAAAAATACAATGGACGGAAATAAAATACTTTTGACTGTCATTTCGGTTTCAGCTACTCGATATACAAATACAGCTCAATAAAAATAACTTACCTATTTAAAATTGGAATGTTACAAAATCGTTACCCTGACAAGCGTAGAAATACGCTACAAACTTGTCATATTGTTGTGTGGTCTTAAAAATACTAATTTAACAAAACTTTCTTTGTTCATTATGTGAAATGTCATTTTAAAAAAAAGCTAGTTTTCTCAATCCCTACTCATATAGGGACAGAAACTTTTAAATAAAATTTGGCGTACGATTTCATTATGAACGTTCTGAAGAACGGTAATTGATAGTAACAGTGTTCAGCCACTTTGGTTTTAATTTTATTGCTCCAAAAAATCGAAAGTCTGCTTTGATCCTTTAAAAGATAAACTAAATTAGCCGCCATACATTTCATTAAGTAGCGTAACCGGTGAGTTTCTCATATTCGAATTGTGTTGCTCGTTTTCAAATGTCACCACTCTATATTCACTGTTTAGCTCATTATTATTCATAGTATTATTGTTATATCGTCTGCTACGTCTGTAGGGTATTAAGCGGCGGTGGCTTGTAGGTACCGTCGCAGCTCCTCTTGCGTGTCGAAGATCATGACGGGGAACGGCGAGCCGGGGACGTGCCGTCCGGCCCATCGGACTTCAACGCGGTAGTCGCCAGGCTCGGTGGGTGAGAACTGGATATAAAACATCGTTTACACTATTTATGTGGGAGATTTTTAGGTAGAGTAAGATTTTGTTTATAGTAAAACTGGGTAATATGCAGGGATCGAAATTAGCAAGACATTTATTTTCTTTGATAATTATTATCCGATGTAGTATGTTTTTTAACTGGAACAGTATGGGAAAACTTGAAATCATAGGAATACAAGGAAACCACCAACCTGTCTTAAGAACCATTACGTCTTTTTTTGTGAACACAATTTTGCCATAGTCAATTTTTTGGTCAAGCGTGAGTTATTCATTAAAATTAATAAAAATGATTTTTTTTTGAGTGCTTATCGACTCCGTTTCATGTAAGGATTATTTCATTGTATTGGAAGAAAAAATCACGACAGCAGAAGTTGGTTAAATTTAATAAAATGTTTTTTCATACAAAACGAATAAAATATATTTTTTTTATGTTGATGGATTCAGTTCTATGTAAGAATAATTTCATTGCATCGGAAGAAAAAAATCGGGATAGCAGAAGTTGTTAAAATGTAATAAAATATAGTTAATTTTGTATGTTAAAGTTTTCAAATGCTAAATTTGACTAACTTCTGCCTTCCCGATTTTTTCTTCTATACAATAAAATAATGTCAATTTCAAGAAAAATTCAATTTCATTCATTTTGCGTGAGAAACATTGACTAACTATTTCTTTAACTATTTTTTTTTAACAAAAAAGATCTAATGTTTCCTAAGACAACTTCCCTGTAACTCTTATAGTTTAGTACTTCCCTATACTGTCCCAGTTAAAAAAAACACTGTATATCCGATAATTACATGTTGACTGATGTTTTCTCTGTTTAATTTTTGACTATAAATAACAAACAGTAAGATGACTAAAAAAACACAAAGTAAAATCTTTGGGAAAACAATTGGTTTGTGACATTTTTTTTGAGATTGACATTTGACCCATTTAGATGCGTCTTTGATACGCGTATAAACACATGGCACGACATTGTTAGCGGTAGCATTTTGTTGCATAAAAGCATGTTTTTCACGATAATTAACATGATTATTAATATTCATGGTAATTATCAATGATAATTATCACTTCGAACCCCGATACTAGGTAAAAGGAGTACATACCAGTTGGGAAAATAGCGTTTTCAGCTAAGAAATATAAAGTCAATATTTAAGAAAACCAATCAGATAGTTTGGTTGGTAGCACTTGGATTCTTAAGTTTTTGATATTTGTTGAGTTCTGTACATAGATTTAGTATATGGTTCTGTATTATTAGAATTGAAATTTTTTTAAATGCTTTAGGACTACAAAAAATCCCTCAAATAGGTATAATTTGTTTTTAAGTGTAAATTTATTTGACATTTGACTTATCAAACATTTCTTTGACTTTAATTACGTAATAATTGCATTTATTCTGTGGTGTATCAGAAATGATTAAAATGTTATAGTGACTAATGTTTCATATAATGTAATTTTTCTTTGCATTATTTGAAAATGGAAAATAGACAAATTTTCCATTTTCAAATAATAATTTACAAAAAATAATTTACAATGAAATTAATGAAAAGAAATTTGATGATAAAATTGAAATTGGCATTGGCAATTCTGATTTTTTTTAAATTCGTGACATAAGATTCTGATACAGTCAGAGCATATGGATTGGATTGGATTTTGGACCTTTCGCGTTCTTGTTGTAAACAGCGTATAGTTGGATTTAAATCTTACACTGCAAGTCCTGTGACGTGCCCTTCACTTTATGCCCATATCATATACCATTGTAAAACCAGGTCAGGTTTGTTTGAAAAAACAAATATACGCGATTTAAATCCGGAAAAATAGTTTCATTTCCAATCGCGGAAACCTAAGAACTCGATATATACCATTGTAATCAATATGTAGTCATTCAAGTTCATAAAAAAGATATAACTCGGACAGTGCCGACGAAGTACAGTGACTTTAACACAATACATCCTTGTTGTGTATATAAGAGATTATACTGATTAGGGATAACAAACAAGCGTTTATCGAAATTATCTTAGTGCCATTGTCCAATATGCAAGTGTTCAATAACTAATAACTTACTTATTCAAAGATTGACACCTGATTATCGATTGAAAACTAAGATAGTGGCCATTTATAACGCAATAACAAAACCTTATCATCAGTGGTAAAGTAAATCATGTCATTTACATACAATCTCATCATTTATTCCAGATAGTAGGTGTTATTCCTCTATATAATGTATACATATGTACACCTACAGATGTTGTTTAATTATACTGATGATGTGATAATAATAATAATATTATTCTTAAAATTATGTTAGTAGGTATTAAATCTAAAATTATAAAATAAAAAGTAAATTCGTTCATAGGCTTGCCTCAAACGCGAGGCGAAAAAAGTTTCGGCATAAAAGTAGAATGAATTCTACTGTCAATTGTTTTGAGTATTGGGTTGGAGGTGACACGCAGTCTACAGAATAGTGAGGTTGCAACTTTTTGCATATAATGGCATAAATGTCATCTGTATGAGTCAGTGCAAACATGCCTGATGCGGTGCAAAACCGTGGCAGCTCTAAAAACACACGAAAACCATTGTTATATTGTATTTGCTGGACACCGATCATCTTATGCGTATAGTCGACCTAAGGGTTGCATGTATAGATAACTAGTATGTCTTAAATAGGAAGATTTTTACTTGTTCACTAGCGAGCAAACCTTCGTACCACCATAATACATCTGACCGACAGCGAAGCGAGTTCCCTCTCAATGTCCATTAGATCTTCGGTGACAAAATGGTCGAGGTATTTGTATGGATAGACTCGTTCGAGTTCAACATTGTAACTTCAGGCATTGAGTGCAAAATTTTTTTTCATGAACATCTTAAAAACAAGTTAACAACTTACAAGGTAACAACAAGTTAAGTAAACAACTGTTAAGAAAAAATTTTCGTTTTCTCACTATTCCGTGAACCGTGTATCGTAAAAATGGTAGTAACGGAAGACACCACGTTCAAATAATTAAGAAAATGGAATTATTTTTGCATAGCGAGAAAAATTGTTAGTCTCGATTTTTTGGCAAATTTATTGGATTCAATGTTAAATTTATTCAATTCATTTGTTACAGCGTGGAAATTTCGATCTAGCCGATAGATATAGTCGCTAGATTCTAGCGAGACCCTTTATTTACACTTACTTAGCCTCTAAATCATCCACATTTAGAGGCTAAGTGTCAATAAATACTAATACATATAAACAATAGATCCTATAAAATATACCTTGCATAATATAGTGCGGTCCTTCTGATTCTCTCTTTGCATCTCGACGCGGAAGGCGCCTTTGGGTCCGCGCACGCGCACTGTCAGCTGGCCTGCGCCTGCGCCGCGCGTATCGCAAAGAAACCGCGACTGGAACGTCGCAAGGACGCCCGGTTCCACGCCTGGACCATATACACGGACCTAAAAATAACAGAAAAATATTATGTGACATTTTCGCCCAACATCAACATTGTACTGTACATTTCAACTGTGAACTGGCAACCGGTACTATCTCAATTTTGACAGCTTTACACGATGAAGAAAAAAATTGTTTCCGCCATTTATATGATATATTAAATAAAAATACGTATTTTTTAAATATTTATATTACACATACACTTTAAACAATTTTTTTCTTCATCGTGTAAAGTTGTCTAAATTGGATAGCACCGGTTGCCAGTTCACAGTTGATTTATTGACGTAGGGGCTGTCCCCTTTTTTTTTTACCTGATCTTTACTCCCACATAATCTGCTATTTCAGTTAGAAGACTCCTATGATGTATAAAGCTCTTTTTGCAGTCAACAGTACATCAACATCTGCCCGTGTGTCTGCACAATGTGGCCGAACGGTTACCATGCCGGATTGCCACGCAGAGATCCCAGGTTCAATTCCCGGGCCGGGAGAAATATTTGTATGGCCTACATTTATTTCTCTCGTGAGTTTGGGTGTAATTTGTGGTTGTCTATGTGTGTGTCCATGGCACCCGCGACACTGGGTTTTCCTAGCGCGGGGCCATGTTGAGTGTCTGCATTATTAAAAAAAAATTGGAGTGTTCATCCCAGCGTGTCGATCGGTCAGGGCAGGTAGAATTGAATGCTATCATTGTATCTTACCCTACAACTAAATTAACAGTCTTTGCTGAGCTAATGCTCTCGATTACTTTATAAGTACAACTTAATGTTAAATGTAGCAGTTTTAGTTTGCGAAAGTTTATCCAGGGTAGTACTGCCACTTTACCTATTTCTGCTGCCAAGCAGTGATATCATCACTACTGTATTCCGGTTTTGAATTTAAAAGAAAGTTGTAATTCCTTTCCATTCATTCATATTAAGGATGCTGGTGAAATTACAGGCACATGGGACTTGTCAACTTATGTCTCAGGGTATCGGGCACAGTGGTAGTGCCCCTCAGATCTTTGCGATTTAAAGCTCTGAGGGGCACTACAACTGTTATGGGTAGGCGTGTAGCTTACTATCAGGCGCGTGACCTGTTCGTCTCGTCACTAGACATTATAGGAAAAGTTTAATATTGAAGTCCTTAGAAATAGTAACACAAACAAATCATACTTTCGAAGGATCGGGTGCTCCAGCGACTTTTAGCACGAAGGGTGATCCGGGCACGTGTTCCCCGGCGAACTGCACGCTGAGTACATGTCGGCCGGCTTCCGCGGGTTTTACGTTCAGAGTAAACGTGCCGTCGCCGTGCTCGTACAACTCGCAGTACGCCACCTGGTAATGGAAGTTATAATCGGTACAGGCATGGATCAATAAATAATAAACTGCCTCCGTGACCGAACGGTTACCATACCAGACAGCCACGCAGAGGTCCCAGGTTGGATACCCGGGCCGGGAGAAATATTTGTATGGCCTACATTTATATCTCTCGTGAGTTTGGGTGTAATTTGTAGTTGTCTATGTGTGTGTCCATGGCACCCGCGACACAGGTCATCCCTAGTGCGGGGCTATGTTGAGTATGTGCGTTTTTATAAAAAAAGGCAAAAAGAGGATTGCTAATAGCGATACAAGAAAACGTAGTCGGGTATTCAGTACCTCTTGGTACACTAGATGTCGCGACGAGTACCAAATAGCTATTTTTGTAGCTAATTTGTTTTACATTATGCAGCTTGTATATCAAAGGTACTCTAAGTTCTTGTGATAGATCGATAGCACGTTTATTCAGCACAAATGCACACAGAAACAAAACATTTACAATCACTTCACAGATTATAACATAAAAGCACATAGAACATACATTACTAATTTTATACACATTTATATAAAACACTATTATACTTTAGTCTGTGGAGATATACATATATATATATATATATATATATATATACACACACATATATATTATATATACTGATAACGAAGAAATTAACTACATGGCGCTTATTGCGATTTTAAGGATACTGCCAGCTATTCTTTTATTTTGTTCAGGATTAGTGCCATTCACAGAACAATAAACACAGTAGAAGTGGTTAGTCTGACGCGTGCCAACATTAATTAGGTCTCGAAAGACCTACTTGAGCTCAGTCTGCCAGTTTCTCTTTGTATGGTATGGTTTTGCCATTCTTTCGCGCAAATTCTCTAAAATCGCGAAAAACCTCTAAAATCGCGAAAATTGCATGCCAAAATTGTGCTCTTTTGGAGTGCAAAAATGATAGCCGCGCCAAAAATATTACCCGTACTAGTATTTCATATCATCGGTAAGTCTTATTTGAATAAATTTTCAATTATCTGTTTATCGAATTGATTCAGATGTTAATCGTTCGTCGTAGTCCAGCTATTGTCCGCAAGTTGTATAAAATTTCTATATAAAAACAAAACGTCGTAACTTGCAATAAAGGTATTGAACTTTTAACGATTTTTTTTATAATATCAAGTGAAGGGACGAACGGATCGTGCGCCCGATGATATGCTACACGCCTGTCCATAACAGCTGCAATGCTACTCATAGCTTTAAATCGCAAAAACCACGCCAGGCACCCTGAGACATAAAGTTGACAAGTCCCATGTGCCTTTATATTTCACCACCACCCTTCTAAACCGGAACGCGTAATGCTAACATTCCTGCTTGGCGGCAGAAACAGGTAAGGTGGGAGTACTTCCCTGGACGAACTCTTTTACAAGGAGCTCTACTGTTGCTAAATATGGCATAGCGACTGGGTAAAGTTTAAATTATATGTATTAACAATCCAGAATTTGTTACATCTTTTTAAATTAGAAACTATGACCAATCATTATCAAGATTTCGTAGTGTTTATCGTTTGTTTGTGTGCGTTTTGGTGACAGCAGTTCCGATAGTAATCGAGACCCAAGGCACTTCCATTTTTTTCTTCCGTTGCGCCATCTATCAGCATTTAGCCAGCGTTAATTTTCAAATAACTTTGTAACACACAATGCCATCTATTGATATGCATATTCGTTAAAGTTAAAAAAATAATTTTCACTCATGATTAATCAATATTTAAATAATATCAATATTTGAATAATATTTACTAACTTTTTATATTAAAGAGGAATTAATTGGTATACACGGCCATTTACATAATATGAACCACTTCCAGGCTATTGATCAGCGCCATCGAGGTATAAAACGGAATTTTGACCTTTTTTCGAGTTACGGTGCGTTGTATGGAGTTTAGTAGTCTTATATTGTCCATGATAATCGAATCTTCGTCATAACTTCCTTCTATACAGCGTTTTTTTAATGTGTAAGTATGGGGGAAATCCGAAACCACAGAAGATACAAGGAAACTGTCTTAGCAACCATTACGTCTTGTTTTTGGTGAAAAACAATTTTGGCATAATATTTTTTTTGGTCAAGCTTGAGTTGTCCATAAATATTAATAAAATTGATAAAATTTTTTTAGTGTTGATTAACTCAAGTTTATGTAAGGATCATTTCGTTGTATTGAATGAAAAAAATGGGGTAAGCAGAAGTGGGTCAAATGAAATAAAATGATTTTTCACATATTTGAATAATATTGATTAACTTTTTTTATTTAATTTAGCAATTGACGCTGATAGACTCAGTTTCTTATAAGAATGACTTCATTGTGTAGGATCGGGTTAACCCATACTGGCCCGTAAAAAAACCACTATACCTTATCCAATTTTTATTTGTGAAGATTACCTTATTAGGCCCCGTGCAGTGGGCAGTGAGCTCCCCAGGGCCGGCACGTCGTGTGTCTATCCAGGAGCGGATCTCACGGCCGACCACGCCGCCCTGCAAGCCTGCGCCTGAACAAACTACTTTCGATGCGTCGCCGGCTTCTGAGCCCATTGTTACGTTCACTGTTAGTGGGCAGCCTGTAGAAATAAATATTGAATTTGTTATAATAATACTTCATTATTTTATATTAGGATATTTAAATGTATATAAAAATGTAATAATTAAAAAAATTTACACGGGAAAATAGCAATATTGTAGAACAAAAAAATTGAATGTGAATTACACCACTATTGCGCTGATTGTCTAAATTAAAAATAAAATTGTATAGAAATTCAAACAAAGGCACGTTGAATTTTAGTGAGTTTTGTCACAACAATGATAATATCAGTCACCTTTGACCAGCCGTCCAGCCCACATAACCCTGAGTTGATGATCTCCAGCACGGCGAGGAGTGTAGGTGGCGCGCCACAAGCCCGGACCGGCCGCTGTCAGCGCCACCGGCAAGGTCTCGCCATCCGGAGCCGTCAAAAATGCTTCTGGCGAACCCGGCCCCGCTGCACTGCCGTCTGTCAAACAGAATAAAGTTACAGATTATTTTGTTTCTAAACTTATATCAATACTGATTAATTTACTTGATAGATATAATCCTCAAGAAAGATCTCGCTGTAGTATGTTTCATAAAAAAGCTATTATCATTATTACCAAAGAAACCTAAACTAGAATTTCTCTAAACCTCGAGTAATGAACACCAAAAATGAACTAATTAAGTAACAAGTAATCGACACTCACCAATAACAAACATGTTACTATGGATACAGAATTTTATCCTAAATTTTATAAGAAATAATATTTGATTTTTTATTTAAAAAAAAAGTCGAACAGTGGTGTTTGTCGGTCACTGACATGGCGCCACCTCACCAATTTTATTATTTAATGTTGTTAAACTCACCAACAGTGAACACAGCGGGTGTGTGCGGTGCAGCATGAGCTAATCCCCGACCGGCGAGCGTAACGCGGTCGGCTATAGTGCCCGAGGCAACCAGCGCCCGCCGCGGCGCTGCACTCACCAGTGCACCGTTGTATGTTAGTTCTAACTCTTGTTCCCCGCTCACGCCTTCAGCAGCTGCTAGAGTAACTACTGCACGACCAGATACTGTTTCTACGCCTGCAAAAATTAAAAAGACGTTGACAAATCGGCATAGACAGTTGTCCCAGATGGAAAATTGTAGTGGACAATGACTTCTGTATTATATTTCTGTGGCTCTAGTGAAAAGGGGTACATGTCAAAAAAGCCAGCTTTACAAGGAGACGCGAAAAACAGTTAAAGCTTAATATGATATTAAGCGTCAAGTATTTTTCGCGTTTCCTTGTAAAATTGGCTTTTTTGACTTGTACCCCTTTTCACTAGATCATCAGATTTTTAGATTGCTAATTGTCGATAATATATTCTTTTTTAAACATCTACCATACGTAATCAGATCTATAAGTTCTAGTTATCTACTACAATGACAAACTAGAACTTTGTATAAATATTAACTTATATCGCACATGAAACCAAACACAGTTGTAACTCAAAAATTGTGAAATTCTGTGAACTCGATTTGAAAGTTCAAAAGTTACTGAACGGAACCAATAAATTTATATTCTCATTTATAACAAGATAACTAAATATTATGTATAAATAAAAATAATCTCAGTGTGTGCAATAAGATTCGTTCAGATTTTTATTTAATTTTCAAATATGTCTTCTCAATATCACCATTTTTGAGTTACGACAGTACTTGTTTCATGTGCGATATTACAGGTTTTATGATGTAGTTGTCATTGTATAATACGTCAACGAAACGAGTGAAAATCGTCGAAATGTAATTTCGTTAACTTGTATCCATGGAGAAACGATGTCGACTACATACGACAAATTCACAGCGAACGTCTCATGGCTTCCGAATTATACTGCACATTAAAAAAAATTAATGACAACACAAAGCAGTAAAGCAGGTATGATAGAGTAAGTTAATGTACCACATGCGACCTTATTGCTAAATAAAAATTTGTTCCAGTATTTCTATTATTTCATTGATGATATTGATTGGTTGTTGAGCAATTGTAAACTGTTATTCAACACACTCGGGTTTCTTTCTTCCGCATCGATTGGTAATAAAATTAAGCTTGTTAACACTTTGTGATATGTCAATTGAAGCATTGGGAATAACAAGGACGTTCGGCATCCAAAGCCCGTTTTGATGTTATTGCATTAAAACATGTAAAACATTATCTAGTATCTTGTGACAAAAACTCATTTCGATCTCCCTTCTAGATAGCGTAAGTTTCATTCATTTAGAAGGTGGCGCTCTGCCCTTGTTGCATGGATTATAAATGTGCATTTGAATTTCCGACACGTTACCAGTTGCAGTTTGTAAAAACGTATTTTAATGTAAAAAAAGTCTGAAACGAGCGACTTCATCCCCAACATGGAGCATCTAGGAGGCCAGTGAGACCTGCTGAAGAGGATTCTGTCGATTCATTTGAATCCAGCGTATGTAATAAATGATTAAAAACACGCTTAATTTTTCTCAATGTAACTTTTAAATAAGACTGACTCACATTTTTTTAAAACCAATAATAAAACGAACGCCTCATTAATTTACCGGTTTAGTGCAACAAGGGCGAATAATTCAAGGAAAAGAAAAATGTTTTCAATTGTTACTAATTGTTTCAAAATAAGAATTACACCTGAATCTTTTAGCTAAATCACGGGACAAATAAATAATAAAAAAGTATATAAGAGGTCTACAATAAATATTAAAAAGATATAAGATATTGAAACTTTATTTTCAATTTTCTCGAAACTCACTTTTACGTCATACGCCCTTGTTACACCCAATGCTTCAATTACTAATGGTTCTTCAACAAAATAAATCAATGCACTCACGTTGATGTCGTCCAGCCAACAGGCACTCGAGCGTGCCGGGTCCGGCGTTGCTGGTATCAAGCACAAGTTTAGAGGGCGCGCGCACACGTCCCGCACTGTCCGCTCCCCATCCTCCTACTGGCACTATCGCTGATGTGTCTATTACCTAACCAAATAAGGAATGTTAGTCATGGTGTCTCTTAATTCAGTAATTATATTAATTTGTAACTTATCCATACTAATATTATAAATGCGAAAGTAACTGTGTCTGTTAAGTTTTTACGCCTAAACCGCTGAACCGAAGGTAAACGATACTTTTATGGGGAACTGTATACGTTTTTACAATAAGATTCCGGAGAATATATTATGATTTTCATTTCCTAAGTATAAAACTTATATTAAAAGTATTTTAATTGAAATGTCATATTACAAAATTGAAGAGTATGTTTTAGATAAAGAAGTATGCGAAGATAACAAGATTCTACATTCCACACAATTATGATTCAAAATGTATTCCATAGCATTTAAATTTATTTGAAGAGAGCAATCCCGTGTTACTAGTTTCTTGCTCGTTCTCCTCATGGAGGTCAGCGTAATGAACGAGCAGTAGCTTAAAAATGACGTTTTCAAGTGTAAACATTTTACCTATGGAATAAATGATTATTTGACTTTGACCTTGAACTAAAATTGATGAATTATATACTTTTTGTCACAAAAATAAATAGTCAAGAGGGTGAAATAGGGGATGAAAGTTTGTAAGGAGAACCAATAAAACTACGAAAATTAATATAGTACAAAAGGGTCACTAACTCAGTATTTGCTAGAAAACGCAATGGGTTCCCTGCACCGATTTTCATTTAGGACCCTTAAGTGAGGTCACGGAACAACACACGCAAGTATATTTGAAAATAAACTAGTAGTTTTGTTTATTGAAAATGTGGTTAAATACAGTAATTATTTTATTAAATATCATGTTGTTTTTACTACAATGACATTCATATATTTTTTGTGAAAATATTCCAATAGTTGTTGTAATTATTATTATTGATGTAAAAATCGAACAAATACTGCGAAAACTTTCTTCGATCCGGCTGGACTGGAACCAGTTACCTCGCCACACGGAGCTAGAAATCTTTTAAACCGATATAAATAAAAATGTCGATTACATTAGTTATGATGAGGAGGGCAGTATAGCTCTCCCTACTCAGCTACGGGAATGTGGTTAAATAATTAAAAAAGTACTCACTTTAACAGAGAACGGGCTGCCAGGCAACGGTCCCGTATTCGTGAATATTCTCACTTCGTACAATCCGACCACGAGCGGTATGTATGCGCAGAGCCACTCGCGAGGTGCCCCCGCTACTACTCTGCATTCTAATAAGCCTGTGTCAGTGCTGTCTTCTTTGCCTTCTGTTAGTCTTTCTACCTGCAATTATGATAAACGATTAAAACGAACGCGATCGTTTCACAATTATAAATGTAGTCAAGATCTACATGGCATATTGTTATGATAAAAATATTCATATCATGCCGGCTGTAGGACGTAATCTTAAGTCTTCTGTGCGTCTGTGTCAAGATTGCAAGAAAAGGAATTGTTTTAAATATGAAAGTACCTGTACAGTGGGCGGCGTATCATCAAGGCAGAGTATAGTGAAGGCGGCTTCCTTGCCAACATGTGCGTGCGCCAGGCCGGTGCCGGCGCAGCGTGAAGCGATGCTGCTGCGCCCACTCAGCACGCCGAGCGATACGGGACTGCCGTTTACCGGAGCACCTGAATAATATAATAGCACTGGAAATAGCGCCGAAAGCACATGCCTAGGACGAATTGTCATAGCTGTCATGTACTTGGCAGCGTTTTATAATGTGCTTCAAACGCCATTCATTATTTCTGTCTCTTTCCAATTTTATGGTATTTGCGAAGAGTAGCAGTTTTATACTAATATCACAAATACGGCTAAATTAAAAATCCTTGAGTGAATAAATATGAAAGCGAGCTAACAACGTAAGAAGGAACCGTAAGGCGGGAGGTCCTTTACTCCCGATGTGTGACGCTCTTATTGTGGACAGAGTTGAAAACTTTTTCTTACCTCCATAGGAGATATAGATGCGATAGTGCGCCGGCACGGAAGGTCGTAGCCGGACTCTGTGGACGTGTCCATCCTCGCGAATGTCCACCGGCATGCGCACGCGTCGCTCGCCCATTGCTTCGCATACTACCTCTAACTCGCCTACGCCGGCGTCTTTTGTGTCCACTGCAAAAATATGTATTTTATTAATAAGTTGATACTGTAATAAAATGGGGTACACTCAACACTATATGATATACAAAAGATGTAAAGTTATTAAATAAATTGTTGTCCCAAAAACGTTACCTGTAAAGTTAACAGGCGTTTGTGCGATGATGTTTCCAGTGGGCAGACCAGACAGAATGACTTTGTTGGAATCGAACGACTCGCATGTGAATGGGCTTCCAGATACCGGCTTTGATAGGTGAAGTACTTCTGCAAATGTTATTAAACATTTTAGTTGAAGATTAACAGCAGTTACTAATAGTAACGAAACATTCCTGTGACAGTTGACTTGTGACAGACAATTTTCGACACTCGGTGTGTAGGAGAAAAGGCAACGGTGTTAAAATGACACTGATGGTATATTTGCATAAATAACTGATAATTTCATTTTCAGTTTGATACTGCTGCTTAATCTATGATATTGTTTTGTTTTAACATGCTTGCGGAAACGAGATGGAAATCATTAAGCACGTACTGTTTTCCTAATTATCTCTCCATTACCAATTATTAAAAAATACACAAATTAGTAAATAATAAAACAGAATATACTGTATCGAGTCTATGTGAATAATTTTAAAATTTTTTATGTTAGGATTTAGATCCGAAAAAACAGTTTTATTTACAATGTGTAGCAATCCCGAAAACATGAGAATTTGATTTAATGTGGACATTATTTAATTTCGTAAGTTAATCAATTTTAAATTTATGAAAGTACACTATTTATTTACCGTCTACACTTAATACGAATTCCCCAATTGTAGATAAATATCGTTGGTAAACACTCAACATTCTCTCTCTCTGCCTAACTTGTTCCCTACAGGCACAGATAATACTATACTCTACAGGTATTAGGTTGGTAATTCCCAACTGGGGGGTATAGATATATATATATATATATATATATATAGAGTGACGCTACTGACGACCACTTCTTTCAGTCTTTGACAAAATACGTAATAGTTTTATGCACACTACTAGATGGCGTTAGCACGCAATGAGCGCTATGGAATATTAAAATTTCCGTGAATGATCTTGTTAACAGTAAATTGAAGACTTTGGAGGTCGATGGTTAGAATCTCTGTTCTTATATCTTATAATGTTCTTATATGGCTTTAACTTGGAAGTTACGTACATTTGTAAATGCCTCATCCATTGTCATGTTTACCAATTCCCTTGTTATATAGAATTCGAGTTATAAACCTACCAATTGTACTTTGGCCGACTTCAGTGATAGTGTACTCGGCCTGTAACAACCCCGACTTGGTCTGGTAGCACCGGACAGGGAGGGCTCTAGAGCCGGGTCCCGAGACAACGACGTCAAACTCTCGCGCCGGCCGACCCAGTGTGTCGATGCTAAACGACGCCACGCGCCCGACTTGTGCTTGGTATAGGCCCAGGCCCGATGCTGACACCTGTACGGATAAATTATACATTTTATCATTGACAGCAACTTAAAAACTCGTTACCGTGATACACTCTATTAACTAAACCCACGGACAAATCATGTACTTAAATCGAATTTTTGCTTGACATGTTTCGAACTAGTCTTTTTCGTGGAGTACCAGTTGCGGAAGCAATTGATTAATGACCACGGACTGGTTCTCTGGTGATTATTATTGAATTATCTGTGATAAATCCCTAAATATCGGCAAGCCACGATTAAATGACTGAGGCTGACTGGTATCACGCTCGCCAAAATGGCAGAAGACAAAGGCCGGAGTTATATTTATTTCGCTGCTCTGGTACGCATAGTACACGGAATTTCGTAATTTTTGAATTTGAGTTTGAAGTCAAAAAAATAAACAAGAATCGAAAGAAATAATCGAACCATTTATTAAGTTTCTAACTGTGAAGTTACCTCTTGTCCATGATGCGGTGGTTGTACATCGACAAGTAGAGGTTCCCTAGAAATGGGGGTGCCGCTCCACAGCAGTGTCAATCTGTGCGGTGCTGCACGCGCTGGGTGCCACACGACTTCCTGCCGCGACCCACCACGCCGACGCACTGAGTGCGGCACTGTTTGCCCGCCGCATGTTACGCGCCCAAATAAACGCCCGTTGCCAGCGCTGCCCGTGCTCACTGTAAACAAAATGAATCGATATAATCAATGCATCTAGTAGCAGTACAGCTCCTTGCGAAAGAGTTCATCCAGGGAAGAACTGTCTATTTCTGCCGCCAAGCAGCAATGTGAGTTCCGGTTTTGAAGGGCGCTGGTGAAATTACAGGCATATGGGATGTTTCAACTTATGTATCAGGGTGACAGGCGTGGTGTTAGCGCTCCTCAGATCTTTGTAATTTAAAGCTCTTAGTCGCACTGCAACTGTTATGGACAAGAGTGGCGCTTATAACCGGGCGCACGACTTGTTCGTTCCATCACTTGGGTATCATAAAAAAAAACAAAAATAAAAAATATCTGAACATTAGCAGTAGTTTTGATACTTGTTTTTAAATTAACTTTGATACTAGTTTTGTTAGACAGCTGTTTTATTAACAAATAATTTGTTAGATGTGAAAATTATTTGAATGGAATTCTATATGTATTAAGTTTTCTGATAGCACTTAAATATTTCCCATTTCAAATTAGCAAAATTCATTTTATATGGTAATCACATGTGACCAATGTATAATTATTACATTTATTTTATACGAATGAAATTAGCATCCAAATATAAAATAATTAAGTACTTTAGTATCATTTAAAGTAATATTGTACAAAAGATTCTGGGACCCACCTTCTGGGTTACACAAATTTTGCGCTGACAGCCTCAATTGTGAATGTGGCCACAATTTTTTTTTTTATAATATCAAGTGACGGGACGAACAAGTTGTGCGCCTGATGGTAAGCTAGACGCCTGAGCTTTAAATCGCAAAGATCTGAGGGGCACTGCCACTACGCCCGTTACCCTGAGACATAAGTTGACAAGTCCCATGTGCCTGTAATTTCACCAGCACCCGTACCCTTCAAAATCGGAACACAGTAATGCTGATATTACTGTTTGGCGGCAGAAGTAAGAATGTCAAACATCTATTGGAAATATGAAGCGTACCAGTTAGAATGGCCGGTCGATGCGCCACAGCATCACCAATAGACAGTACTTTTACAGCACCGGCATCAAGTGCCTCGACTTCAGCAATGACGCCTCTCGCGTTCCTCACGACATAGCGGCCGACACGCGTGGCAGGGAAGGTTAGGAGACCGGTGTCTTCGACATGGATGTCGGGCACTCTCGTGCCAGTTGGGGATACTACTTCGATGTCCGATTGGTTCTCGTCAATTTCTACCGCTGCTATGCCACCTAAAGAATATTAAAAAATAAAAGTTGTAGACGGGACTATCCTAATTATAAAAAAATCTTCATGTCGTGTTAAGATCTATAAAAAAAGTTATAAATTTCTTAAATATATTATTATAGTAACATAGGATATGAAAGAGTCATAACGAAACTACACACATCAAAAGTGTCTAGGGGTCAAGCACGTTACAGCGTTAAAGTCAGTTACTGTTACAGTACAGTTAAAAACAGATTTTTTTTTTAACATCGTTATATTTTATTTGGGCTTTTTTATAATTTGAATTTGAAAATGAGATTGACCATAAATAATCCATTGGTTTTGTTATCATTACCAATCTGCACGTAAGTATGAGGCTCGCTGACCCTACAGATGAAGGGGCTGCCGGGCACGGGCTGCTCGTTGAACGTGACGGACACACGGTGAGCCTCACGCGACACCGGTATGAAAGTCACGTCGTACAGACCTCGCGCTACTGCGACCACCTTTTACAATTATATGTAATTTTAAATTAAGGACACTATGTATAACTTTGCATAGGCGTTCGAGACAGAAAAAATAATAATAAGAATAACGATTAGAAATCGTCGGGGATAGTGGAATTACGCGTAACTAGTACTGGATTATGAATTTCTATTTCGGTAATTTAATGGTAAAATCTAATCTGCGTAAATGTCATGCCAACCAAATTAATGTGATTTATAGAAATCTATTGTTGTCAGTCCGTAGACAACATAAATTAAAACTTACTGTACAAAAATTTCATTATTTAATATTTCGGAGCCATTGAAATAACAAAATAATAACGTTAAATCTTTCCTGTAATATATGTTTTGTGCAGATACGCGCCTTTTACCAATACCACATACGCGGATTTGCACTATCCCCGACGAAATGTAACTAATTTTATCGTATTTAATTAGCTGGCACACTACGTCTCCCTGGAAGAGATCGCTTTCAGCGATAAAGCCGCCTTTACCTACATTAATTGTAAGTTGTCTGTGTACCGTTTTTGTTTTTTTTTGTGTGTGTGAGTCATAAAGAGTAAGATCTATCTATACGTCGCGTGTATTTGATTTTTCAAACAATCTATCGTTTCGGGCAGGTCCCAAACCGAAGACTGAAATGGTAAAGTCGTCAACTTATAACTAGGTTAATATTAAAAAGCAAATTAGCGTACTAGGTTTTCCTTTATCGAGGGAAGCCAAGGTGTATATAAACTGGTAAAAACCTGCTTCAATATTTTCTCCCTATTTTACTAAACAATTAACTGTCTACATATTATATTTTATTAAATAATTAAATCTATACAGTGGCATAGCCACACAGACGTTTTGTGACAAAGCTTAAATAGCTTAAATAAAGAGAAAAAATAAAAATTTAAAGCAAATAAAAAATAGTTTAATTTCCAATGTTTAACAATCGCGAAAACCTAAAAACTAGGTATGTTTTCAAATATTTTTCATTTCCATGTACTCGTACAATCTCGATTGGTAGTCTCAATTACTGTGAGAATGTGTACTGCACACTACAGCGTATTATAAAACGGAATTTTATAAATGTAGTTCAGCATTAGACAGTGTTTTACCATAAATAATATACGTACATTTACATAAATTTTTTAACAATAAATTATTGCTATTGAAAAACAAAATAATAATAAATTTTGCTAACTTACCTCAGCCTTAACAGTAGTTGACGGCGTAGAAACAACTAGCTCAAGAGTACCTTCCCCAGCGCCGGCTGCGTCCACGCTGAACGTCACCGGTTTTCCTACTTCTACGCCGCGATCCTCTTCGCCCAGGTCATCTAGACTTAGGCCTTCTAGAGTGCCCTCTAATTCTGTAATCAGACATGTTTTTGTAATAATTAACGTCTATTTATAACTATATAGAGGAATGTTCAAGCTGAACAAATGAAATCTAGACTGGAATTGTAAAGGCGAATGTACTTCAATCGAACAAAAAAAGAAATTAAATAAAATCGCCATAAGAATCAATGCCTGATGAAATTTTGACCGTAATTAGCTGCAATGTCAATTGCAATAATATTTTTGTAGAAGGCGTTAGTTCTGGTTTCTAAATCCAAACATGACAGGGCAATCCGTAGTTGGCAATCATACAAGATATTTGTAAAATACCATAAACACGCCACGGAATGTTCATAATTACGACTAAGAATTTTGTTTTTATTAATTATTATAACGCGATTACAATAGAATAATTAATATTGTAAGCGAGGTGACATTTCAAATACATTTATTTTATTATTCATTGTAAACATGCGATTTAAAAGAAATTTGTAATTCCATTCTATTCATTCATATTAAGGGTACTGGTGAAATTACACATGGCGCATGACACATGGGACTTGTCAATTTATGTCTCAAGGTATCGACCGCATGGCAATGCCCCTTAGATCTTTGTGATTTAAAGCCCTGAGTGGCACTGCAACTGTTATGGACACGCGTGTGATTTACTACCAAGCACGCGACTTGTACGTCCCGTCACTTAGTATAGCAATAAAAAAAAAAATTCAACGTTGGTGTGGAATAACAAAGTAGATTTCAGTATTTTTTATCGTTATCACCAGTATAATGATTTGAAAAAATATATGAAATGTTTTTGGTTAGCTTTATCTTACCTCCAGGTCCTAATCCAGTTACCCTGACGCGTCTCACATCATAAACATTGCATGTAAAAGGTGAGCCGGGCACTGGGCGGCCCGCACACGTAACTTGCACGCTATGGCGGCCAACGGCCTCCGGCGTATACGTGGCTGTATAGCGGCCGTCGGACAACGGTGTGATGCGAGCACGGATGCTGCTGCCGCCAGGACCTGCTGCGTAGACTGTTGGTTCGCCTGCTGGAAATAATGAGATTACTTTAAATCAATGTTTAATTGAAACGAAAAAGAAAAAAGGAACCGATATTCAAGCATTGATATAACTTTTGGTGCATTTATTAGTGAAGGAGTTTATTTAATATGCAAAAAAAGAAAACCATTACACGATAAGATTTCATGAAAATTAAACTATTTTATTCGGAGCTAAATCGTGTATTTTTTTTCAAACAAATAAACGATAATTTTGTTCATTTCCTATGCGTAGCAATTGCGAATCCTAAGAACTCGATATAAGAATAATGTTACTTATGCATAGTAATCTATTTTATACCGGAAAGAGATTCTAGTCTGTTCTTAGATAGAGGCAGTCTTCATGTTGAACCATCAAAAGAACTTCTGTAATATACACACAAAAACAAAGTCTAGAGATCAAAACTATTTTATAGAGACATTTTTTAAGTTTGTACAAAAAAGTACTTGATGTTAAAAAGTTTTAGTGTTGGCTGTCTGTATAAAATAATAATGCTCAATAAACAAAAAATCATAAATTAAATTTATAGAGACGGAAAAGTCGAAATCGCGCTTCGCAAGTTATTACAAATAAAAAATGTAATTAGTTAATATTTCAAAAACCACCTTATAGCTGCTGTTTTGATTTTTAATTTGACATGATATGCTTCCCTATCGAGATCTTGGAAGCTGTTGATTGGGCTGGACTGGATACGGTATGGCCTTACAGGTGACTTGGTTAAGGAACACCGAAGAAGAACAGCATTACGACTTTAGAACAAGATCGTTTTTCACAAAACTTCACTCAAACGGATTTTTCAATCAACTTGCTCGATCTTGCGACGATCGTCATAAAAATTAAACTGGCAATCCTGCACACAAGTTTAGTTATTTTTATACATTACGATCTCGTTCTTTTTATTTTAATTTAATATCACCCCAAACAATATTTCGTCGCCTTTCTCAAACTCGTATCTTAAAGCACAAAGTTACTGAAATGCAAAAAATGAATTATATATACAAATTTTGTAGGCTGATTTCACATCACATTTCCTTCATATTCACATACTGGCTTTTATTTATTCTTAAAGTAATGCATCCAAATTAACACACTTGATAAGAAATTTAAAATAAATAGAAAATTTTGCCATCTCCTAAATAATCACTCTTTATAAGATACGAGTTTGAGAAAGTAAGGCGATGATTTTTTGTTTTATTGAAATCGTTATCCATTTTAATATTAATTAGAATTAATGTATGCTATGATCATGAAAAAAAATCGACCTCTACACTTTGTTGATGTGTAATACGTAAACTAAAGCACAAACAAAAACACTAACATCTCATGTTACAAGTTTAATGTAAAAACCATCAATTAAATTACGAATTTTAAAAGAAACTATTATCTAAGAAACAACTATTACAACACTAATATTCTAAAACCCATCACGCACATTTCAAATCAAAAGTTACGTGGCCTTTAGCCGTCAGTTTGTATGCTAATTTGTACAAGGCAACGTACAGTGGCATTTGTTGCAACTATTAGGCACGACGCACAGGCACGAACGAAGGGCTCTCATTGAGGAGTGAAGTGATTGTTTAAGTCCATTATTATTTATTTACTTTAGTTCCTATTTTGATATGTGTTAGCAACAACACATCGCAGCTGTCATCAATTGTAATATTATGTACTGTTTTGTAAACAAATTGGAACAATACAATGGCTTTGATACATAATAAGGGACAATTATATCTGTTTGTGTAATTAAGTAAAGCATCTAATATATTTTTATGTGGTCGCTTTTTTAAGTATATATCATAAACAATTGGTAATGTTTCTTTACTTCTTGTTGGTGTATCTATGTATTTTAATAATCTCACTGTTTGATCAGGAGAATTAAATAATAAAGACTTCAAATGTATTTGTTATGAAATACAGACAGAACGCAGCACGTTTTTAAAATTGTATCGTAATTATAATTGCAAACAACTGTAGAATATATATAGGATGTAGGGTGTGTCCCATGGCGATGGGACACGGAGGGACAGTACTTTAAATATTGCACATAAGATGTTTAGCTTCATGGAGACTTTTTTTTAAAGTCAGTACTTTAATAAAGTATTAAAAAAATTATAAAATAATTTTATTTATAACTTTATTGTCTCATCACGAAATCGAACCGACCAAATGAAAAAAAGCAACCCGTATTTTTATGATGCTGATCGAAAGGATTACAATTTAAACTGCCTTCGTGACCGAACGGTTACTAGCCTGATCTGCCATGCGGAGGCCCTGGGTTCTATCCCTGTGCTGAAATAAATATTTGTATGGCCTACATTTATTTCTCTCGTGAATTTGGGTGTTATTTGTAGTTGTCTATTTATGTCCATGGCACCCGCGATACAGGGTTTCCCTAGTGCGGGGCTGAGTGTGTGCGTTATTATTATTAATATATTATTATTATACAAGGATCAATTTCTTATAAGTAACATAGTATCTTAAATTAAAGTAATATTTAGAAATTTTAACTTTCAATTTACGATGAGTTAAAAATGAATCATAACGCATTTTACTGTCGGTATGCGTATTTCGATAAATATCGGCATTAGGATTTCATAGCCTTCATTGTTTACTAACAATTATTCACTTTTGGAACTGGAACGCCTTCTTAGCACATATATTTACAAAGTTACCATAAAAATGTTCAGTTCAGTTTAAACCATATTTATTAATGCATTGTACCCATATAAGTGTACGGTCACCAGTACGAACATGGAATATAGAACCGAAGTAATCATAAGAAATACCTAATAATAATCTACGCTATGTAGCAAACTCACTATGGAATCCACTTAGATGTATCTCGGCAGGTTCGCCGCGAGGTGTGGACACAAGTCCCGGGCCTGTGGCGCGAGCTTCGGAGGAGGTGACTGGAGCGGAGACTGGGCATGTGAAGGGGGAACCCGGTACAGCGTGGCCGTTGAATCGTACCGAGAGTGTGTGGGGAGCTGCTTCCACAGGTTTGAAGTTCACCTGGATAACAAATTACGTTACAGCACAGGGGAAAACAAATTACTGAAATTTAACAAGCACATACAGAAATTGGTAAGGTCTACAGACTCGTTCCGTAGCTCAGTTAACCCTTTAATTGCCAAGGACGCTTTAAAGCGTCTTACATTAACTTGGCTGAAACGCAATGAGACGCCTTACACGTGAAGGAAAACTCTTTAATTTTCAATTGAAATAAAAAAAATAATCTCGATATTCCTTGTGTTTTTTGTACAATCTACTTTTGGATTCATAGCTGTATTTCATGTGCAGTTATGTTCTTCTTTGACTTAGGAGACTTGATTTTACAAAAAAAAGAATTAAATTAATATAAGGTGGAAATTCATAACATGTCACATAGTGATGTGACATGTTATGATATAGCCTTGGCGTCTAGGGGACGAAACCAGTTTTTGTCAGTGGCGGTAAAAAGGTTAAGAGGCTGATAACCCGGGTTTGGCGAAGTCGTTGGTTTGAGTCCAGCCAGATCGAAGGAATTTTTCTTTATTTTTGTTTGGTATTTATATAAATAATAACAACAACCTATGTCACGGTAGTGAAAACATAACAATATACAACGATATAGTAACGGTTTATGGAATGTACCTTGAATCTAGCATTTCCTTCACTTTGTACATAATTTGGCACGTTTCTACCATTCACTGCGACAATTATTTCCAAGTTTCCGGCGCCTGAAAAAAAAACAAGGTATCAAATGTTTTTCTAGACATAAGATGCGATGCAAGGGAAATAGTTTAAATCTCCACGGTTGCCTACCCGCATGTGAAGCGTTGATAGTGAAGGAAACAGGTCTTCCGACGACACCGGGCGAGATATCGGTGACAGATACTCGCGCTGCGCTGTATGCTTTCACTAGGAACGGACTGCCTTCTACGTGCCCGCCCATAGCGCCCGCTCGAACCTGAACCAAGGAGACAGAACTATAGAAATTTCGTGATTATTGCATTATGTAGAAAGTGTAGAGTCTAATTCTGTATCACCTTATAACAGTACCATAAAGGCATTGGTTTCCATAATGCATCATACATGCGCCTAATGCAGGGTCAGGAAAGATTACTTTTAGTATTACAGACACATGGGACTTGTCGACTTACGTCATAGAGTGACGGGGGCAGTGCACATGCCCATGATCTTTGCGATTTAAAGCTCGAAGTGGCACTGCAACTGCTATGGACAGGCGTATAACTTACCATCAGACGCACGACTTGTCCGTCCCGTCACTTGATATTATGAAAAAAAACTTGTTTTGACGACGTGGCCAACGTTATTCGTTGTGTGTAAGAGCGATACCACACGATGCTTTGCGTTGGCGTTGCAATCTCTAAGCGGTAACGCTGCGTTGTACAATATAAATTAGAACTTAATGCCATCGGACAAGGGGCCACGAGCGAAGCTGGGAGAGGTAAAGCGGAGTTACTTTGCGATACCGCATTACTCGTGTGGCAGCCGGTGCGTTGAAATTGCAACGACGCAACGCACTGGCAGCGCGTGTGGCTTCGCTCTAAATAATATCATAAATGCAACGTCGAGTTCGAGTACTGCACACTTGCCTCAATACTGTGATCTCCAACGTCGACTGGGACAAATGATATAGTATATCTTTTACTGGCTTCATTTTCACCAATTGTTTCTTCAGCTGAGACCTATGAACAAAATGTATGTATAATTATTTATATTTTTTTATTGATCAAAATACAGAAAAAAATACGTATTTACTGTTACAAGCATCGTTTACAAAAACCCTTCCGGCTTTATCCGCGGCAAAAGATATATATTTTAGTAGCAGTAGAGCTCCTTGTGAGAGTTCGTCCAGGGAAATACTGCCACTTTATCTACTTCTGCCGCCGAGTTGTCTAGTATCTATATATATTATATTATATATATACATTATTTTACAAAAAGTCAGCAACTCATACGGATGAGGCGATAGGGTGGATAAAGCCACTAAGAATTGAAACTTGATCTATTACGTAGGGCGCACTATAAGTTTCCGGAATGAATAAAAAAAAAACTATAACTGGTCAGAAATGAATTAATTTATCGAGTTCTTAGGTTTTCGCGATTGTTACACATAGGAAATGTTACAAGTAGAAAATGAACTACTTTTAAATCGCGTATATTTGTTTTTTCAAACAAACCGACGTTTCGGGCCCTTTACAGGTCCCATGGTCACGGTTGACTGACCATGGGACCTGTAAAGGGTATTGAAATTAAATGAATTTATTGTTTCTCAAAATATTCTCCGTTAGCGTTAATGCACTTTTTCACACGAATGAACCAATTTTGAAAACATTTATGCCACTCCTTCGTGACAATCTCTGAAGCATATTTTTCATACTCTTCGATAGCCTCTTCAGGTGTTGAAAATCGTTGACCGCGTAACTGGTTCTTAATTTTTCTGTGGCCCCCTAAATGGTTCTTAATTTTTGGAAATAAATAAAACTCACAACGTGTCAGGTCATAAGGCCAACGTTGTTCACCTTCAAAAATTCATTTGTTTGTCTGGCCGTGTGAGAACTGGCATTATCGTGGTGCAAGATGATACGGCGTTTACGGTTATTTTTACAGAGATTGTCAATAACTTCCGGCAAACAAATGGTCGTGTACCAACCACTATTTACGGTACAACGATTCTCCAAAGCAACAGTAGCCACGTCCAGTTTTATTAACAAAATAAGCAATTATCCGCTTAGAGGCACTTTGCACGTGCGCCACGTTGATGGGTTTCGGCTCATCTCAAAAGACCCATACGCTCGATTGCTGCTTTGTTTTGGGATCACAACTATAAATCCATGCTTCGTCACTTGTTACTATGTCCCACACCAAATTTCCAAATTTTACGCCCCTTCGTTGAATCTGGTAAACATGGTCGCATGGCATTGCATCAAGCGACGCGATCCGTTTTTTGAGGATCAGTCAAATTGTGTGGGATCCACCGAGAACACAGCTTTTTCACACCCAATGTGTAGTATTGATTGTATTTGACTCATGCCTATGCTTAAAGATGCCCGAATCACATGGTATGTCACACGCCTGTCTGTTTTGATCATACGGCGCACAGCATCGATGTTTTTATTGTTCACAGCAGTGGACGGGCGACCATCACGAAATTCGTCACTGAGATTCACACGACCGCGTTTGAATTCTGCAAACCAGCTATAAATGGTCGTTTTGCATGGTGCTTCATCGCCAAAAGCAATTTGAAGATGAGCGAAGCTCTGCTGAGCTGTTAAATTACACTTAAAGTCGTAGAAAATCATACTACGAACATTTTCACGAGTTAAATCCATGGTGATGTAGACAACCAATTTCTAAAATAATGCCACAATGTAAAAACAAGTGTCAGTCAGATGAAACAAACTGCATTCTACAGCCAAAGAATTCCAATTTCAATTGTTGCAATTACTTTTTAAATATTGTTTATGTAAGTGGCCAGTTCCGGAAACTTATGGTGCGCCCTATGTATCATAATTTTACGACTAAAAAGTATATACCTGTACAGGCACAGGGCGACGGGCAGGTCCAAGGACTTCAACATGCGGTGAAGCAGGCGAATCCACACTGAACGTATATGCGTCACCCACGGACACCTTGTCGGGCGACTCGCCAGAGCCAGCACCAATGACGCGTGCAGGTGCGGATACGTGGCAAACGAATGGACTGCCTGTAGGGTAACATGGGGAATTATGTCAAGGTATTGGACAGTTTTCCATAAGGTTTTTATAAAAATAACTCAAAATTTGTCGAATTTTATCTATTAGCCGAGTTTTCCAAAACTCATCCCCTAATTTGCTACCGTTAGAGGTGGAATATTTTCTTCATATTTGAATGGGACCACTGATAAGGTAATTCCTTCCCAACACACAAAGACTCAACGAAATCGGTTCAAGGAGGTTGGAGTAACCGCGTAACATACACACGAAAAATACATCAAAATTGAGAACCTCCTCCTTTTTTTTAAAAGTCAGTTAAAAGATAGAGGCCAAGTGACTTTGATGGAGCAACAAAGGTCTTTATAACACCATGGTGACTGGATCATATAGCTTTCATAAAAATCAAAACTTTTGGGATACATTTTACCAATGCATAAATGGCTTTCATCCATTTGTGTTCATTAATAAAATAAACGAATAAAAAATTGTTTATGTGTGTGGTACGAATTTGAATGTCGCCTGTGCATCATGTTAAGTACTGTAAAGAGAGTAAAGTTCAAACGCGTAAATTGTGAAATCAATTTCTCTTTCTTCGTAACTTTGAGAGAGTTGTTCCACTCTGTTAATAGCACGCAAATTACGTAAGTCGTCAGAACAGACATAAAAAGTAAATGTGCGTTTCATAAAGTGTTACTTTCTCTATTGTTTTTATTATATTTGGTTTTTTATATATTTATTTATTGGACACAATACAGTACATGTAAATGGCGGACTTAATGCCATTAGGCATTGTCTACCAGTCAACTGGAGAGCTGGGTGCAAAATAATTAACAAGGGTGCATAACATGTTTATTAAAAACGAACAAATTGTAATCAGTCATTTATAAATCAATTACAAGGAGAAGATAAACTGTCTTTTTAGAAGGTACCTTGTGCAAAGGCATTTTATTACTTTTTTTAAAGAACTTTTTATAGAACCTTCCCAAAATAGTGAAAAAAAAGTATGTTTAGGTAGAAATTAGGCAGTAAATAGTTATATAAAAAACGTGAATTATATACTGCTAGAACCATGAAAAACGTAAAGTGGTCCAGCCAACCTGACGTCAGAATGGCTGGCCACTTTATTTCTTTAATACTTCCGTTAGCGCAAAGGTAGAAAATGTGTCAATAAAGGTACTAAATAGTAGAAAATGGTAGTACATAATGAGTACAGTTTGATTTGTATATCTCGTTTGGTCCAGCCTTCCTGACGGACACCACTGACACGCTACACACGCTTTATGGCTTTTCATTTGATTAATTGTTGTCATATTTATTTATTTCTTATTTGTGTGTTATTGCTTTGTTTATCACCTAAATATTGTTTTTTTAAGTTATAAGTAATGTATCGTAGTTGTTAAATGTATGTGCGCTGTGTTGTTTCTTTTTGAAATAAATTGTTTTCTATTCCATTATTTTTAAGAGGTATTTTTAAATAAGAGGTAATCTTAAATGTAGTTTATGGTATAAGTATATTTCTGTGTATATCTCACCAGGCACATGATCCCCGTTAAAGCGTAGCTCTACAGTATGTGGTCTGGGATCGCGGGGGGTGAAACTGATAGCATAAGTATGGGCGCCCTGAGCTGCCGCTGCAGTCGGTACGCGTCCGCCGTTTACTGTTACTTCTAGGTTGCCCGGCCCCGCTGCCATCGTCTCAACTGTAAAGAAAAGTCAAGTTAATGATATACGACCCATTTTTGTACATTAATGTCCACTCTTTCTGTGGCTTTAACGATCTACATGTTTTCCGACTTTGGTATATCAATTTCGTTTCACGCTCGTATATATACACGAAATAATATAATATTCTTGTTATTTTTTATATATACCAAGTGACGGGACGAACAAGTTGTGCGCCTGATGGTAAGCGACACGGCTACCTATAACAGGTGGAGTGTCACTCAGACCTTTAAATTGCAAAGATCTGAGGGGCACTGTCACTGCGCCCGGCACCCTGAGACACAGTCGACAAGTCCCATGTGCCTGTAGTTTCACCAGTACCCTTGAATTTCAAAAACGAAACGCAGTAATGCTCCTACTGCTTGGTGGCAGAAACAGATATGGTAGCAGTATTTCTCTGGATGAACTTTTGCACGAGGAGTTGTATTTTTTTTATCTTTATTTATTTAGGAACTTTTGTACCATGTATATCGACTGTGAACTGGCAACCGGTACTATTTCAATTTTGACAAGTTTACAGGATGAACAAAATTTATTTAAGAAACCAGATGCTATATAAATGACACAAACAATTGTTTTCTTCACTCTGTTAAGTAGTCAAAATTGAGATAGCACCGATTGCCAGTTCACAATCGATATGTCAGTTCCATCGTAACCTACTACTACTTCTAAAATTGGTAAAAAAAGTTATGTCAAGTGGCATTACATGCAATGTTAAAAAAATAATAAATGAATTTACCTAAAAATGTGACAGGCTTCCCAACGGTCCCATGAGCAACATCTTTGACTCTAATAGCAGTAACGTCATATACCTGGAAGGAACATATGCAAAATAATTTTCTTCATCTATTAGGAGTTTGAAATAAGTATGAAAGTGACGTGACTTGGTTATTTTTAGTATTACCTTGAGATGAAACGGGCTAGCAGGTATAGGCACAGAGTTAACGAGTACGTTCAGGCGATGTTCTCCAACTGCCCGTGGTACAAACTCGGCACGAAATACGCCGGCGCCCGCCGCCGACACCGCCGCTGGCACCGACGCGCCATTCGGACCTGCCAGTTGCCACCGCCAATGCTCAGCACACCGCAACGCCCTAACTCTCTTAACCCCATCCCTAGTTCAATTTGTTTGGACCTAATGCAACAACGTAACGTAATTGTGCTGAAGTTAATTCAACACATTGATGCTTTTTAAAAATTCGCGAAATCATTTTATGAATTTAAGTCCAGAAATATACAATTTTTTTTTTACTTTTCATAGGATTTGGTTAGGAGTTAGGGCGAAGCGGATGAACTTTTGAATGAATGTTACTTTAACATCATGTTAACATGAGCATCTTCTGTAAATTAATATTTAGAGTTACTCCCTCATATACCCATATCTTATGTGATTGTTGACCATTCAGTATTACAAATTAAAATAAAATATATTAATTAATCACTACGTAAACTAAATAGTTTAAAGCTAAGTTAGTGTAATTAGTTCAGAATTAAACTAAGCATATAAGAGGTGGATAGTTAGTACTGCAAAGCTTAAGTACCTAACTTCGTGTTATTTCAATTTTATTTTCATATAAAATGTAAAAATAAGTTTGCGCTTTTGTAACTTCTCCTTCGAACACTCCTAGAGCGATTTTTAGTTCGTGTTTTTCTTTCCTATAATTTTTTTATATTATTTTAGTTACTGGGTCATTTATATCGCCCTGTAAAGAGAATTAAAGGTACGATGAAGCACATACAAAAAAAAAAACGTAGAAGTGTATAGAAATAATAAGCGCCACCTCTAGATATAAAAATAGTTTAAGACATATATTTATTTACACCACATAGTTCTAAACCAGAGTAAATACCGATTGTCAGTGAAGAAAAGAGAATTTCAACTCAATTATATCTCAAAAAACACAACAACATAAATATTATTAGCAAGATATTAGCACCTTAATTTTAAATTTAAAGTGTGTAATACAGAATCTTAATCTTGACAAAAAGTTTCTACAAATATCAATTGCTCACCTTCGACATTAACTTCAATCTGCTCTAGAGTGGCAGTGGGATGGTGGAGGGTGAGCGCAGCTGGCTGGTGGAGAGGGACAGGTCCGGGTAGCGTTACTCTGGCCCCACTACCAGTGCCCTCCGACACTTTGATTACCAGCGGACATCCTGGGACTCGCATCTAGGAAATAATATTAGCTGTACGCCTAATTGGATTTTGTTTTTATATAAAAGCAGTTTCAAGTTTTTAACACACAAAGGTATAAAATATATAACTGGTATAAAATAAAGCAAAGAGAATAATAAATATGCTTAATGTAAACAGCATATTTATTATTTAGTCTCAGAATTCATGTACAATAGTGATCTCTAGCAAAATAATCTTGATGTATGTTTATATTTAACATATAGGTCATCATACAAAATAAAACGGACAGCATTATTACCGCCGAAATTATATATTAATTTATTATAATAAAAACTAGATTTAAGTACAATTTGCTATAAGCCTGGCAGGGTCCATGTGACATCCTTTTTTTTGTAACTACAGTATTTATACCATGGTTGCAATAAGCGTTATTCTATTGTAAAATTATAAAAAAATAGAAATTTACAACCTTCTAACTCTTCTAATGAAAGATAGAAATTTTAAAGAAAGATTATTACCTATTAGGAGGCTGGAAACAATCCCCCTTTGGATAACTGAGCTTATTCTTTATTGGATGTAACACTCTGGTCACCTTAAGATAAACTGAAATCTCATTAGCAAATAGTTTTGCCTGTGCTCCCAGAGTTTCCAACGCAAAAGGCGTAAAGCTGTAACGCTGGCCGAGGTTAGTGTATTTAAGCCTTTTTTCTGTTATTTAGATTACACGCAAAGTTACTAGAATAATGGGATTCAGTTTTGTCTTATCTTTTCTAACAGCTTAAAAAATAATTTAAAGCTTTTTACCTTATTAAAAGAAACATTGACAACATGGTCACATGCTTCTGTTGGCGTGAAAGATACAGTGAAGCGAGCATTTCCCTGGAACAAAACGATCAACAAGTTACAATCTAAATATACTACAAGACATGATACAATCGTGTATACTATACTAGCCACAGAAAAGACCAGTAGCAGCAGAGCTCCTTGTGAAAGAGTTCGTCCAGAGTCATACTGCCACCTTACTTATTTCTGCCACCAAGCTGTAATGTCAGCATTAGCCTGTTCCGGTTTTGAAGGGTAAGGGTCCTGGTAAAATTACAGGCACATGAGACTTGTCAACTTATGTGTCAGGGCGATAGGCGCAGTGGTAGTCCGTCAGATCTTTGCAATTTAAAGCTCTGAGTGTCTGTAACTGTTATGGACACGCGTGTAGCTTACCATCAGGCGCACGACTTATTGGTCCCGTCCCGTCTGGTCCACTTTATGTTATAAAAACAAATAAGACCAGCTGGCTAGAAACAAGTGATTTAAATAGTAACACAGAGACACAGCTTCTTAATTATTGCTATAAATACCCTACCTCCAAGTGTAAAGTGTTTCAAGGTATAATGAAAATGCGTATATGTACCTTATACAGAGAGTAACAAAAATGTATCTTTGAGTTGGCACATAAAATATACTTTTTATTTAATTATGGATTTTTTGTGATATCAAGTGACAAGATGAACAAATATTGCAACTGGTAACTAGTGACATGCGTACTTATAACAGTTGTAGTGCCACTCATAGCTTTAAACTGCAAATAATTAAGGGGCACTGCCACTGAGCCCGTCACCCAGTGACATAAAGTTGACAAGTCTCATTTGCCTGTAGTATCACCAGCAAGCTTACCTTTCAAAATCAGAATGCAGTAATACTCACACAGGTAGGTTGGTCTTATTACAATAGTTGATAATTGTTATTATGAACAAAGCTGACTAAATATTATTATAATAATAATTATTGTTACTAATTAATTATTTAATGTCATTGAAATAAAAACACTCACCTGAGGGTGAACCTGAGTGGGAATGTTCAGTCCTCTAGCGGCCACAGTGATTTCCAGGTTGCCCTCTCCTGCTTGTGCAGCGTCAACTGCCAGTTGAACAGGCACTCCAACACGGGCAGAGGAGCCTCCAGAAACGCTTACTAACTTCCCATCATATACTTTACATGTGAATGGTGTTCCCTGGAAGGAAAGTTCAAAGGATTTAATGAGCTTGAGTGCAATGCAAGTTTCTGACATGGTTTAGATATTTAGAACATGTTTATCTATCTATTGCTCTGTGGTAAATATAATAATATTTCAATGGTAATATTAAATGGTGGGAAGGTGGGAAGACGATCTGCACCGAGAATGGCGCCGGTCGGCAAAAGATCATTGCTTATGAAGAAATATGGAGGAGGCCTATGTCGAGGACAACCTGATAAGAACCAGAACCGATGCTGATGTTATAATTAAGAATTTATACTGTCAGAAATAAGCATTAGGTTAAACTTAGAATTAATTTAGAAGTAATCAGCGTATAAGGGCTATTTTTATTTTATTAATTTTAAATAGTTATGCAATCGTTCTAACATTTTATAAGTTTATCAAGACATACCAATATTTATATATATATGAAATAGTTTTGTTCTTGGTAAAGATAAAGTCGTTTAGTAATAATTAGATGTGGGCATTTAAATGAAAAGCACTTTAAATAGTTTGCTTTTTAAAATAAGCACATAAGCAAGCTTTTCAATTTAAGCAAGCGTTAACATGCTTATGCTTCAAGTCCCGCTATCTGTTTCCTAAACAAATTAATTCATCAATGTGAATAATAATTTTATAAATAAACTTATTTATTTTAAAACCTTTAGTGGTCTACTCTTGCTTTTAGCTATCAACACAACATTGCATGCTTTTTTTAACATAAAAGTCTATGCGCTTAAACATTTTTCTAAACGATTTGGTAAGCCTCAAACTAAAAGGCGTTTAAGTGAAATGCGTTTAAAAAAAGCACGCTTATTTAAGAAAAGTACGATTTGTTAAAAAAGCACGTTTTAACGTTTAAAAACATAAGCAGTTTTTCTCATCTCTAGTAATAATCTGTCTTAACCTCGTAGGTATTAGTAATTTACTTACGGAGATAGGTTGGTTGTTGTAATGAGCGGTGAGCGTGTGAGGTCCAACATTTCGCGGTGTGAAGCTAGCCACCAGGGCCGTGACGGCATCGCCAGTGAGCCGCACGGGGATTTCGCCCCGCGGTCCTCGTACTGTTACCGTCAGCTCGCCGCCACCGGTGCCTTCTACACGTACTGTACATGACGCTAGCTCGCCCACAGGAATTAATTCTAAAAAGACAAACAATGTATTGGTAAGGCGGTCGATGAAATTTCTATCTTTTGAATACAAGTACTGGTAACTCTATTTTAAGCCTTAATGTGATTGACTGTAGTGAAAAAATGTTATGAATTGGAGAAAAAACACCAATCTAAAGAGATTATAGCCACAAAATTAAATAAACAAAATTGACATCCTTGAATTGACATCAGCTCTTCGCGCCATTATATAAAGGGCATTCTAAAGTGCACTTTGAAACGGTGCATTTAAGATGAAAATTAAACAACAACATTTAGAGAATGACTTTCACCACAGAATATAATAGTATTTGGGTTCTTTTACGTACAAAATGTTAAATATAAATAGTATTCGGGTTCTTTTACATACCAAATGTTACAATAATCTTTTTTTTTGTAATATTTTTGTATATTTATATCATTTTACAAAATGTAATGCAAAGACAATATTTTATATTTGGTGAAAATTGTTTAACAAAGTTACCGCGAAGCTCCTGTAAATAGATAATATACAAAATCATCAACTAACCGATTTGTGAAGTGTCAATAGTGACTCTTTGTGCAGGCGCTACATGGAAGACGAATGGAGACGAAGGCACAGGCTCTCCGTTGAACTTGATATCGACGCGGTGCGGCGTTGGAGTTTCTGGCCTCCAGAAGACTAGACATCGGCCACCACCAACCACCTGAGAAAAATAACGATAAGAAGTTGGGTAACGGTAGTCCGGGAGTCCATGTTTGCTGAAAAACATGTTGAAGATTTCTGTGCCATCATATTAAAGCGTAGTGTCGCGACTTCGTTACATGCGTCTCACTCAGTACGAATGGCATCCTGAGCACTTTGGCTGATACATGAGGGACCCCAATGCTAGGGCGGTGCATGCGCTTGCACACTACTGTCAATTCACTTGCCCTATCATTAGCTGGTTAAGTTGTGCTCCCAACTGTTAAATATGAATAATTTTGTTTTATAATTATTTTAAAACACTAGTTTAATTACTTTTACAGTATAGATGGATGAATGAATATATGTAATAATAAATAATAAAGTAACAAAAGGTTATGATAGAATAACAGAGGCCGTGGGTTCCCCACAATTATTGAACGTGCTGCACTTTTGCTGTTTAGTAATTCTGGTGCCACAAGTTTGTTATGTTTCGTTCTTGCACGTTCTCACTCGCGAACATTGGTAAAAGCTTGCCAAATCACACGTGTGGACAGCATGCTATCCTGTCATGCTGGCTCTACAAGCTTGTAACCTGTGCTTTCGTTCTTACTTATGGCGCGTTCACACATATTGTATGAAAACGAGTAGTGGCGCGGCTACAGCGTCTCAGTGCCACGGTAGCGCTTCTATTTTAAGCGTCTAATTTGAAGACGCCCTTAATTGAACGACGCAATAGGTCCAGACATTACACTAATAACTATACTCACTAATAATTATACTCAGTTAAAAAGATCAGCTGCAGGTACTAAAAATAATATAAGCAAGGAACTTATTTTGAGTTAATTTCATACCTGAACGTGATTTGGGACTTCTCCCTCATTGATTGAAATTTCTAGTTGACCCTCCCCAGCCGCGCTGGCGTCCACTGGAATGGAAAAAGTGTCATTATCAAGTTGCTTATTTATGTAATAAAATATTAATTACGTTCATAGTAATCGACGTTTGAAACGACGTTTAGAATGACGTTTTTAAAATTACGATAATGAGTAGTACAAAAGACAGGAAAAGAGTCTAAATAAAAGAGATAGCCATCTTTTAAAGGTTGCGCATCAAGTGCATTGCCGGGGCATCGATTATGATTTTGTGGAACAGACTGAACATTTCAAAAAGTAGGTAATGTGTCATAATCGCTACAGAAATTGTATACTACTGTTATTCATTAAAACAAACAGAAAAACAATAAAAATATAGCAATAATGTAAACATTGCTACTAACTGACGCGTGGTATGGAATTCCTTGAGTTTTATGTTATTTTACCATCGTGATTAGCTCATTTCCTAAAACACACGTCGCATTAGTCCTTTTGTTCGAGGTAGTTTGATTGCAAGAAGATCCAATTAGGACATTTTCGAATGTTCACGACACGGACGCTAGTAGCATATCTGCATTTTTTAAAGAATGATGTATTGTAATGTATAAAACATGTAGATTGTACCTAAACTAGTAAATCCGTGTAAGAGTACTTTATACGCGCCGTTAACTTGCGTTTTACGAACGCGCGTAATCTGCGCGTATACGCGCCGTAGTCGCGCTGTAGTGAATCAATTCAAACGCGCGCAAACATCGCGTTGCAAGCAAGAAGCTTATATACTCCAATGGAGTTTACACTTAGAATTTCATGTAACTACCTTTTATCAAAATTCTTGATACATAGGTACGCGCGTTTACGGTGCGTATACGTGCGTCGTCGACGCGTATAAAGTACGCCGTGTGCATAAGCTCTGCGCTCGGCGTTCTGAATAACTACAGAAAGTATAATATCATTAACAGATACCAGTAAGCTTAAATAATACTAAAGACGCAATGTCCTACAAACAGTTGTCTAAAATAATATCATAGACAGATACTGTTTACTTATGAGTTTTTAAACTTTCGCGGGCATTTTAATAACATTAATACACAAACTGCCAACTCGTGAGCATGGCCTGTGCAACCTGACCTTAACATCGGGATAATAGGTGTGCAAATAACTATCAATTTTATCGGGTTTATCCATCCCAGTTTATAATGTTATTACTATGTATTTACTTACCACCATATAGATGTTTTAATGTGCTTGCTATACATATACATACCTCTGAATTGGCACTGTTGTCCTACGATGGCGTTGCCAACATCGGTGACCTTGATAAGACTGGCGTCGTATACCTTGGCTACCAAGGGGCCAGCTGCTAGTTTGTCGTCAGCGATTGACACCTGCGAAAATTATACCTATAATAATAATCTACATGTCAATTACGAGAAGGGAAAGATCTACAACGATCCCTAAATGCGCACTCGCATAATATTGTCTTGAAATACGAATAAACACATTCGCGCGGTTGCGACATTATGAAGTAATAGGTCTTACATCAATCAAGTGTGTGCCGACTTCCTCCGGCGTGAACTCGATGCGGAAGACCCCTGGACGCTCTGCCACGTCCAGTACCCTGGCCGTCACCGGTCGCCGTGATGGCGCGGTCACGGTAACACCCACCTAAATGAAAAAAAAATCTTGATAGTCGAAAAAAGTGCCCGACATTGGGTTAACCAGACGGCTCGAGTAACCACGTCCAAAAAAATTAAACGTGAAATCATTCAATACCTTTCGTTGTCTTGATAGTGTCGCTGATGGGCTATAGGGCAAAGGTACCTACCTCATTTTTGCTAAAAGTAGCAGTGCCAGGCGCGGTGGATATTTCAAAGACGGCAGGCACTCGAGCAGGGATTAGCCTAGTCGGTTCGCCTCCGCCGCCGCCCGCCGGCCCCGCCATCACCTCGACCGTCCACGGAGACCCTGTAACAAGTACACACAAAAATGAGTTAACGCTCAACTACTAAAAAACGATAGTTTTATGAGAAAACTTAATACAGTCCAGCTTCCAAGCAAGTGCCACGGAGTGTTTATAGCAGGTCAGTAATTTTCAAGTAAGTTTTTTGTACTCAATTTTGGTGAAAATTTTTATTATTTTATTACTCGAACACGTCAGTTATAATAGTGGAACAGAATGCATGTCTATCTAAGAATTTACTTTACCTCGTTACCCATATTTCACATAATGACCTCAAATTCCAGTAATACCTAATGTCAATATTTACTTAGCATTTGGAATTCGAGAATAATAACATTGGGGCAGGTAATAACATCATAATTGTTTCTGTAAACCAGTAGATTGTTATAGAGCTGATGGATTTGTATTGTACATGTGGAAGCAGAATAATTAGAACGGCTGGGTGTTTCATTAGTCGTAGTGGGTTAGCATGCAACTGACCAATCAAGTTGTTAAATTGCACATAATAACGCTGCACTGGTTTGCTGCGGTACGATTAGGTATACTGGATATGGATTTTTTTTACTTATAAAATACCTAACTACAAGTTGATTCACCATAAACAGTGTGTGGACTGTAGGTAGTTACTTGGTGTTACAACATTTACAAAGCGAAAATGAAGTTTTAGAATTCTTGTTTATTACATTAACTTTATAATAATAATTTTAGCTACCATTTAAGTACAATTTTGTTTCCGATACTTAAGAATTCTCGTGTTATTAGCCTACTTATAGAACTTAATTACCTTTATATACCTAGTCATGTTATAGTGGGTAAGTAAATGTAGCTAGCATTTACACTTAACGAGTTAATCAAAGCGAAACAAGCAGATAATCGTAGGCGATGAAGAAAGCACTGTAGCGATGTGGGTTCACAAACTTTTTACTTTTACGAAGAACGATTTTACGAACTATAATTATACTTTTTCGCAAGAAGTTGGTGAGCGGCGAATAAAACGTCTATCGATGCATTAGTCAGCATGATGGAAATATTTCTCAAACTTTCTAAGTGGTTTAGCAAATTGTTTTATGGTAGTATGACCAATCACTTTAATTTATTCGTCACTCAGCATTTTTGGAGTCTTTTTACTTGGTACTGAAGATAATAGAGGCTGAAAAAATAATCTACTTTATTCTTTTGGAAAAAGTAAAACATTTTTAGTCTATGGGTCATACCAAAATCATAAATAAGATAACGTACGAGAAATAATGGCGAGTTTTTGTAGTTACAGTGTTTAAATGAATTAATTTTTATTTTTTTATTATTTATTTTAAGTTCCATCATTATTTGTTACCTTTTTAAGCTCATGGCCAATGCTCAATAAATAAATAATAATAATGACTAACGTACAATTTGATTAGTAATTAGATTAGGTTTCAAAATGGCCGTTCGTATCGTATCGCAAAGATGTAACGATATCCCGCGAAAAAATGTGACAACATTAAAATTACAACCTAAGATCTGGCAGTAGGGTCAATTAGACGCCTTAGCGCCATATGACGAACAATTTTGTTACTAGCATTTCAAAACTTCACTTTTATAAGATAAATAAAAAAATGCTTTAGTGGAGGGGAATGGAGAGAATTTTTAACGAAAAATATAACCATTTGACGTAATTCCCTTAACATCAGAGTTCCAGGTACGAGACGGCAGTTGCCGATATTAATGGTCAACTGGGCAGTCCATACATGAAAATATTAATTAAAAATGGTGTTTATAAAGCGACTGCCATAAAACCTTTGCGAAATTAAAAGGTCGATGCGTTCGTTAGCCTGATCGAGGTCAACTGATTAGTGACGAGATTAACTACAAGCAATGCTTCGTATCGAACAGTAAATTTGTTTATCATTTGGTGGTATAACTATATACTTTCGCAAAGTTAGAGAAATTGTTAATATCTTATATATTTCAATAAGATTATTATAAAGCTCATTGAGATAATATTTAAGTGCCAGTGTTATAAATTCTGGCCTTAAATTACTTTTTTTTGTATCTTATTTAGTTTCAGTTTTATTGTTACGCAAAATCAGCGCAATTGATATTTTTCAAGGAAAAAAACCTTCAATATGCAAATATCACGTGCAGTACGTAGCAGTAGAGCTCCTTGTGAAAGAGTTCGTCCAGGGAAGTGCTGCCACCTTACCTGTTTCTGCCGCCAAGCAGTAAAGTGAGCATTACTGCGTTCCGGTTTGGAAGAGAAAGGGTGCTGGTGAAATAACAGGCATATGGGACTTGGCAAGTTATGTCTCAGTGACGGGCGCAGTGGTTAGTGCCTTAAAGCTCTGAGTGGCACTGCAACTGCTATGGACAAGCGTATCGCTTACCACACGGTGCACGACTTGTTCGTCTTGTAAGTTGGTATTGTTAAAAAAAATCGAAAGTTACCAAAATGCGATTGCGTTAGATATGACTGGGAGAGCAGTTTTATAGTAGCTTCTTTATTAATCACTTTGTGGATAGTGACAAATTGGACAGTGTCTCTTGACGAGATGCGGAATTTATAGAACCGTATATTTATATAGGTACCTATTTAAATTTTAGTACTTAAGGGTCAGGCTATATTTTCACAATATCGAAAGTCAGAACGAGGGATTTTTTTTGTGTTGTTCGATCTTTGTATCAATAAAATTAGCCAACTGGCGCAGTATTTTCACAAAAAAGTATTCGACAAAATATAAAGTTCTTAATATCAAGTTCAAACTTAGGTAATTGATGTTAATTGTAGAAAATTGCCAGTGGTAAACAAATTTCATCAAAAATAATAGAATATTTTGAAAATAAAACTAAAATCTAAATCGAAACTAAAGACGAATCTAAAATCCACTACATATTTGTTTAATCAAACACTACATTGCCAACTGTCAGCCCTGACCATGGGACCTGTAAAAAACGTTGGTTTGCTTGAAAAACCAAAGATACCTGATTTGGATCCGAAAAAATAGATTTATTTCCAATGTGTAGCAACCGCGTAAAACTCGATACCAGAAGACTATTTAGAGTAGCAGTATGATAACTAGACAAATTGTATCAACATTGTGCCATTCTGCCAAACAACCACATCAATTGCCTAATCTCAAAGTAGGAAATTCCCTGTACTATGAGTACTAGAGCAACGGAATACACTCCAAGGCACTTCCAGACCAGAACCAATTTACAAAATAAGAAATGAAACTATTTTTCCGAATTTAAATGGCGTATATTTGTTTTTCAAACAACCATGGTCACGTTAATAAAAATTCATTCAATAAAATAATTTGTAAAACGTAATATAGCATAAATTGGAATGTTTCTTTGTAAAATTAAAAATAAAGTATTTAATTAACTTTTTTTAACGCTCACACTCACTGCCATGGACACACACATAGACAACCACAAATTACACCCAAACCCACGAGAGAAATAAATGTAGGCCATACAAATATTTCTCCCGGCCCGGGAATCGAACCTGGGACCTCTGTGTGGCAGTCCGGCATGGTAACCGTTCGGCCACGGAGGCAGTTAACTAAGTTAGCTATAGCTATAGTGAAAAAATAGGGTGGTTTGCATTAATATTAGACATAACTAGTTGATGACTGTACCACCTCAGTCAACCGTGACCATGGGACCTGTAGGGCCCGAAACGTCGGTTTGTTTGAAAAAACAAATATACGCGATTTAAATCCGGAAAAATAGTTTCATTTCCTATTTACAAAAGTTTATCTCCCTGATCCTACCAGGAATCGAACCCGGGACCTTCTCATCTTTTTTAGTAGCAGTAGAGCTCCTTGTGAAAGAGTTCGTTCAGAAAAATACGGTCATCTTACATATTTCAGCAAGCGGTAATGTGTGCATACTGTGTTTCGGTTTTGAAGGGTTAAGGGTGATGGTGGAATTACAGGCACATGGGACTTGTCAACTTATGTCTCAGGGTGACGGGGGCAGTATCAGTGCCCTTCAGATCTTTGCGATTTAAAGCTCTGAGTGGCACTGCAACTGTTACGGACAGGCGTGTAGCTTACCATCAGGCGCACGAGTAGTTCGTCCCGTCACTTGATTTGATTATATTTGATTCTAAAAAAAAACCTAGCGCCCAGTATAATCCGTTCAGCCAATGAAGTCGTCAATTAAGGATTGCCAAGGTGATTACCAACTTCCGACTGGAGATGATACCATAGGAAGGTAGAATTTTGCAGTGTATGCAAATTTGGACACGTGTAACAAACCTAGTTTGACTAAATAGATTCGGTGGTATGCGGAGCATCCGAGGTATGCACACAGTCGCCTCGTAGCCGCCCTACTGGTTTCGCCACGAGTCAGGAATCTAACGGTAAACATGAGCTTGTAACATAGGTATAAGCGAATACGAAGGCAATTAACAGTTCTGATAGGGTGATGTAATAAGTATAAAAAACTGTTTTTTCACGTACTTCGTCTGATTGTACCTATGTACGTGTTACTAGACATTGTATAAACGTAGATTTGGTTAATTTTATTGGGTAGGTATATTACTTAATTTCGGTGGCAATTTTATTATTCAAGTATTCGAGTATATTATCGTGAAATATTGAATAATATTTCAGGTTACTACACTCGAATGTTAAGTAAATAATGCTTTTATTATTTAAATATGCTAGAATATTTAAATAATAAAAATCGCCATCGAAAATAGGCAGAGAAAAAAACCTAAAAATCAATCAATTAATTTTAATTGCTTAAAAATAATGCAACTATTCCTAAAAACTCAGAAAATATCAAAAAAGAACCCAATTGTCATAAAACAGAAACCCTTCGATTTGAGTAGGGAAAGTTAAGGAAACATTGTTATGTGAATAACAAAATATTTTGATACAATCGACACCTGGCATTCGACTATAGATTGCGAACAGGTTTTCACAAAAATGTTACAAAGCATATTTTAATAAATTGTGAATGTAAAGTTGGTCACCCGTTTGCTATCATTAATAATTTTTGAAATCGATGAGGTACA